TCATGTCTTCCTCTTCTGAGTATTTTCCCCACCAGCTGAACAGGAGTTTCTTTTGCCATCAGCCCTCAAGTGGGCTTTGTCTTTTTTCTTTCTTTTCCTTCCTTCCTTCTTTCCTTCCTTCCCTCCCTTTCTTTTCTTTCTTTTCTTTTTTTTACTTTGGAGGGAGTGGTAATGTCCTTCCCTGGATTCGGTCAGTTTCACTATGTAGTTATCACCTGGTATTTTGTTTTGTTTCTCTTCCAGAGTGAAAGAATTGAAAAAGGCCAAGGAACTTGAAGACATACAGCAGCATCCCTTAGCAATGTGACATTGCTTTTCAGACTGTTTTCATTTCTGTTTTTAGCAGAGACATGCAACAACACACGTACACACACACACACACACACACACGATCCCTCTGCACTTTCGGGGAGATCAGCTGCAGGATTTTAACAGGAATGTTTTGGTCATTGCATTTGCACTTTCATGGACAACTTTTAATTTGATCAGCAAGACACCTTGGAACTCAACCTTCTGTTGGATCACGGGGAAAACAAGACACCAGGAGGAATTCGAAAGAGGCTTCCTCTTCTTGGGAAGAAGCTGTTTTCCTTCTCACATAGGGCTGTATTCAAACATCGTGTGGAACTGTACAAATATTTATACCAAAAATATAGCTAAGAAAAGGTGGGGACGCACTAGCAACAAGAGGACGCGGTCCCTGCACCTGCCAGTCACGTCCAAGAAGCTGAACGTTGGGGGCTCGTTGTCAGTGGAGCGCTTCAATCGCACCAACCTTTATTGGGTCCGTGTGTTCGCATTTCCTTCACTGTGTTTATTTTATTTTGTTTGGTTTAATCTCTACAGCACACTTAATGCAACTTTTACAATCTGCAGGTTTTTAATGTCTTGTGGAAATTTGCAGAGGGGCGGGTGTGTGGCAAACGGGTGATGCGCGGGAAAGAGCGAGAAGCAGCTTAGAGTCAGAACTCATTTTCTTGTCCCACCGCCTCCCAGGAACCTGCGAGTAATCATCTTGTCCCTTTTCTCATGTTCAGCACTTTAATTTTTTGCCTTACTTTCATGTGCAATGAGAATTATTTAGAGAATTGGTAAAGCATGTAGCTTTTTTAAGTAACCTTGGAAACTCTAGTCGTTCTAAGGAGTCATAAACCTTGCCTGGACATTTGCCACCTAAAAGACCAGTGTGGTGCTGCGTTCTGGCCAGTAAATTCCATATTTTGGGCTCTATCTCATCCAAACTGAGCAGTGTGTGTATATAGAAGGTAGAAATGGAAAGTGAAAAATATTTGAAAGGGATTATATTAATTGCTAAATATTTTATTCACAAAAGTCAATAACATGGCAAGATAAAATTATTTGTATAGTTTTGTCCGAATGAGCAAGAAAAATGTGGATGTATTGTTTGTATATATTGTACATAGTAAATCAAAGAGATATGTGCATGAAATCAAGAAAAAAGAAATGAACAAAAGCAAAGCATTAGTGGCTATGGTCTGTAAAATGAAACAAAAAAAACTTTATTTCACTATAAGAGTACTTTATTTTAAATGTTCTTTAGAAGAACATTTTGCTGAAGCATGACTAAACCGCAAAAAAAAAATTTAAAAAAAAGAGCTACTGTATTTAGACTTAGGAAAAAAGGCAGAGTAACATTACTTAAAAAAAGGATATGTTTACATTTAATTTTGGCTACCAGGAGTTTATTTTATTTTATTTAAAATTTTTTTGCCAATGGTGCCAAGTAATGTGAATGCTAATATTGCTTAAAAAAATTAAGTTACTTTTGCTAAACAGATAATCATAAGATGAATCAATATACAGCTTAACACCATCCACTTGCTCCAATAAGGAACACTTAGAACGATCCAAACCTGACAAAAGAGCTAGTAGGACAGGCAGAAAAATGTCTCACGTTTTCATATCTCCTGCTGGAAATCAGAAAATGTAATAAAAATTGCACAAAAAATAGCTAAAAATGTAAGAAGATGCAAACTGGTCTTGTAGGCATGTCATGGTGTATTACTATTTTCACATAATGAGGAGCCAAAGAAATCTGATGCTTTTAAAAATCAAACTACTAATGCTAAATTGAGAGAATCAAGTTCACATTCGCTGATGCCAGTTTAAAGCCCCAGGTTAAGTTTCAGGACCAGCTGGTGTGAAGCTGAAGTTACAGGTTTTTTTTTTCTTGGTTCTGGCTGCCAACTGTACGTTTAAACTCCAGGCTTGTTGTGAAGCCTGAAAATATTCACAAATAAGCTTTTAAACTGGCGTCTCCAGAAGGGAGGGAGGTACAAAAAGATTGTGGTAAAAACTGGGGTCAGTGCTCTTGGTGCCTTTTCTATAATTGTACTTGTTTTTTAATTCCTTCCTTTCACTGCCAACCTCAAATTCCTGTACAGTATATGTCTTACTGCTTGTGATCAGCTTTGACAACAGTGACAGCCCCACCACGAGGAGCCATCTGTACATTTGTAAACCGAGCTGACTCAACTTCGTTATTTTACATGTGTGGGTTATGTTACAGCTGTCGCAGTCCCCGGACACCTATTATTTTACACAATTTGACCTATAGGAGGACACTGAGTAACTCAAACACACGATTGCATTCATCGGTGGGAATAGAATGTGAAAGCCAGCTCTCTCGGAATATCCTATATTAATACTGAGTTTAGAGATGTTCATTCCATTTATTATGGTACAAATAACCGATCTTTTGACAAGAGTAATGACCTCAGTGGGTTTGCGTTAACCCTCACATTTGTTTTATTTTTTTAAATGTTTCACATGCTACATTATTAGCCAAGTAAGTTAGAAAATTCTGGAAGATAAAGACTTACATAGAGTTAGAAGGGTTCTCATGGAGGGGATAGGAAGTAGCAGTACAACTGTGAATCCTAGGTGAGGGACAAATACACTTCCACTGAAACGAAGCATTTCTGACCGCTTTTTCTTGGTTGTGAATCTTAATTTTGAATATAAGATGATAGATAAGCGCAGCTTTCTTGGATAATCTGAATTCCCAAGTGCCAGGAGTAGGATTTCATTATAAAATTAATAGCTAATCTTATTCTGTCTCCTGAAGATTTAATTGCTATTCTTGTTACCCATTTGAAATCAGCTGTACTGTGTGAACGAAATAAAAGACACTAACTCGAACCCCTCTCTGGCTGCACGGTCGCTTCTGGCAGTTCCACACAGTAGTTGGCGCCCAATGGGGGGTCCCTGAGACTTGCATGTAAAACTAGTCTAGATGTCTTCTTTTTTGTAAGTTTTATTTTTGTAATTGTGCATGTAAAGCATCGTTGAATCAATGGATCTGTTGAAGAACTCAGCTGCTGGAAACCATGCAAAATGTTTTGAATTGCCCTTAAAATATGGAAAATGTTTTCTGAATGCTTTATATTCTTTCTGCTGTAAATTAAAAACGAAGAAAATTTCCCCATATTATGTGTGTGTGTGTGTTGCTTTAACTTGACCTGATACTGCAGTCCATGGTGATCGGCATCTTTCCAACAATATGAAATAATCTCAAGTATTTCCTTCCATCAGATACGATGTTTTGATATTGAATGTTACATGGCTTTGGGTATGTTTGTGAAGGAAAACATTGCTTAGTAGGGCCAGTCTTCTAGGACGCTTGCTTTTCAACTCTCTTCTCGGGCATCACTCAGCCTATCCATCGTTCACCTCTGTGCAATTATTTGAAAGACAGGCCAGTCTAAACTCCCCTCTTCAGTGACAGTCCTCTTAAGTTTGTTAAAAGGCACCTGCCGGCTGGCTGCCGACTGCCTCTCTTTCCAAGTGCGCTGCCATCCTTCCATTCCCTCTCCCGCAGAGCCTTGCGCCCTGGGTCCCGCTCCCACCTGTATTTTTGACCCCATCTCAGCCACACTGACAAGACACCGCCTGCACGATCGTCCGCCCACCTGCACAGGGCCGCAATGGTGTCTACAGCCGCCGCCTGCAAATGCCATTTTCCATTCTTGTTTGTCCTCATCCTTTATTCCATCTTCACTTTCACCTGTGCCCCAACCTGCGCCCTCGGGTTGGTTTGTGCAAAACATGCCCATTTCCACTGTTACCTTTGTTCATGACGTTTGCTCATCCCTCTCCTGGAAGGTTCTCTTTTTGGTTACCAACTCAAATCCCATCTCCTCTGTGACCCTCTCTTGTTCATTCTAATGTACACTAACAGTTCACTTTTCAAATTATTCCATGAAAAGTTGGGAAAGAGAAGTTACTGTTTATTGTCCGTTTCTCCTCTCATCTGCCAGTTGACCTATTAATGCTTGGTTTTTTTAACGAAGTTGTCTGTGGGCAGGAATGCTTTCAGGTTCAACTGGAAGACGTTGCAAAGTAACCCTCTGCAATCAGAAGCGTGCCTCCGCCTCCGTGCGATCAAAAGTTGAGGACCTACTCTGTGCTAGGGGCCCAGAAAGGCCGCATTGTAGAAACTAGTCCCTGATGTCCTGATGCCAAGGCTCGTGGAAATAGATTATAACATGGCCTGCGCAACGACAAATATTTGTCGCGAATACGAAGACAGCGAAGAAGCTAGTCCAATCAATGTCTGTGACGAGTACACCCAACGGACTTCCTATTTCATTTTAACAGGTTGCTTGCGAAAACGCGGTGTCCGCGGGACCACTAGGTTCAAGCGGGGAGTTGAGCAAGAACACACAGGCTGTCTCCAGTACTGCCGCCGCCAGAGAAACGGCCGATGCTCGTTTACCTGCACAGTCCCTTTGCAGTGTGGAAGCACCACTTCCCCAGCGCCGGTGCAGGCGGCGGCGGAGACTGAGCGCACGCCACCGACCCGCACGAGGCGCACCAGGCTCCCGCCCACAGCGAGGCCAACCTCCCCAGAGCCCCACTGCCCCAGAGCACGCACGTGGCCCCGCCCACGGCGCCCCGCCCACGGCGCCCCGCCCACCACCGACAGGCCCCTCCGCGCCCCGCCCACTCCTCCGGGCCCACCCCGTGACGTCATCCGCCCCGCGCCGCCGCCGCCCCGCCCAGATCCCCGGCCTCGGGATTCGTTCCGCCGCTCTGCCGATACTCGCCCGCCGCCGCGGTCGCCAAAATGTGAGTGACGCGAGGCGAAGCCGGGCGGCCTCAGTCCCGGGGGGCGGACGGTACGCTACTGGGAGCTCCGCCAGGCCCGGTTCCTGCCGGCCGCCGCTCGGACACGGGCCGAGGCCGCGCGGGCCTGCGACGAGCTCCCGAGGCCTGCGGGTGGGCGGCGGCCCCCGGGGTGTGGGCTGCAGACGGGCGGAGCGACCCCCCGGCCTTGCCGACCGCCCCGGAGGGTCCGCGGCCGTCAGGCGGACCCGGAAGGAGCTGAGGCGAGGCTGCTGGGGGCTTTCCGGATAAGGAGCGGCCCCGCCCCGCCCGCCGCGGTCCGGTCTCCGTCCCCGCCCCTTTGCCGTCCGTTCCCTCCTCCCCGTCCCCACCGAGAGGACGGCGGTCTCGGTGCGCTCTGCCTGGTGCCGGGCTCCGGGGGTTGCAAGGGAAAGAATCTCGGCCCTGTCTTGAGGCACCGACGGTCAGAGTGGACTCGGGGATGGCTCTGGGACTTCCCTCTCCCGCAGTGGCCCTTGCAAACGTTCAGAAACCGCGGTAACTTTTAGAAACTGCTGTCAAGAATCCCGCAGTTCCCCCTCCAGCCTGTTCGTTGCTCACCTGTAGAGGAGAAAGGAATGCGTTCTTCCCCTGGGTGCCTCCTAGGAACACGACTCTGGGGTGTCAACACTGAGGCCACTGGGCCGGTAGGTCACAGTGGGAAGATCTAGACCCGTGGAGTTACACAGCGCCGGGTCTAAACACAACGGCCAGCTACGATGACTTCCTACACCTCACTTTACTCATCTATAAAACGGGGGTAATAGTAGTGTTCCCCTCAAACAGTTACAAGGACCAAGTGAGAAAATGCGTGGAGAAAATGCCCCGGTACCCGACCTTCTATCAGGCACAGGAAGGCAGAGGTGGTCATTGGCACATGGCAGAATACTGCCTGTCGCATCAGTGAATCGGGGGCTGTGGTATGCAAGAGGCGTGCTAGGGGCCCTCCAGGGAACCTCTAGCACCGTGCCAGCCGCGAGTCGGGGAAGCCCTCTGGGTCACGGGAGCCTGTGCTCTGTTAGGGAAGGCAAGACCGCGCGAACGTGTGTAGTCAAAGCATTGGCGACAAAGTCATGGGAACAATAAGGACTTCAAACCCAGAGTGCTCGAGAAGATCTGCCTGGGGATAAATAAAGCATTTGATGAGGGTTTTAAAGATGAGTAACCTCTTAGGAGAGGGAGCGTTGCCCCCTGTTTCTGTAAATGACTGTATTCCTCCCCCCCGCCCCCGAAAAGGGAATTCTGTAACTGTTCATAACTATGGAAACAGTTCTTGCCACAATGAGAAGATCAGAGGAGTACTGAGTGCATTTAAATAGAAGATGGCTTTTAAAGAGAGACACAGAATTGGAAAGTAGAGTTTATCTATCTTAGGGTCAGGTTTTCTCAGTGATACAGGGCAGATCCTATTACTACACCTTTACTTTAGACCCTGGTCACTTTTAACATGTGGGTGAATCTTGGAAATTGCAGAAGAATTAGAAGAAATGTCATGAGAGCCATTGTTCATTGCTGCAGGAAGGGTTTCTTTTTCTGCTTTAGTTCTGAAACTCCTAACAGCTTCATACTTACAAAAATATGTTCGCAATGATAATTCACTAATGCTCCTGCCTTTCCGTGCTTCAGGTCGACAGGTGCACCTGCTGGTCCCAGCACTGCCGCTGGCAGTAATCGAAGACTTCAGCAGACACAGAACCAAGTGGATGAGGTATGGCTCCAGGATATTGAAAAGATGAATTTTAAATCCACAGGGGAGTGCTGTGGCAGTAATTGTTGAGAAAAAGTATCATAAAAGTGTGGATGTAAAGTAAATTTTGACTATCAAAATGTAACAGAATTTTGTCCCCTACTACTCCAGAAGCCCTGATCTAAGCAGGAGACAGATTCTCCTGATTTCACACCTGTTCTTCTGTGACAAATCACATACCTAAAATGCAAATACCCTTCCCTGAGAACATTCCTTCAAGAACTACTTTATAATGTATATTTTGCCACAGTAAAAAAAAAGGAAAAAAGAGAGCCACTTTATAAAACAGGGTTATAGGATTCTCAGAATTAGGTCTATCAACTGTTCAAACCAACAGCAGTGCTTCTAACCAGATTTTTCATCAGTGTGCTCTTCCAGTAGCCTGGCTCTCTAGTTACCCAGCCTGCTCAAGCCTCTGTAGAATTCTGCTCCTGTTGGTGCCCATTGGCATACAGAGGGCAGATGCTGGCAAGTTGCTCCAGCCTGACAGATCTCTATTTGTGGAGTTCTTGAGTTCAAGGATGCTCACAGCATCTTTGTTCTGCCCTATATATGCAGACTCAGTGGCAGACTGAGAAATTCAAGCTAGTACTTCCATGTTCCTAAAAGCCATCACTACCAACAAGGATATCTTGGTCTTTCTGCCCTGAGCTGCCTTAAAAAGCAGCGTTAAACTTATGTTAAACTGGGGGCCGAATATTGGGTTGGCCAAAAAGTCTTTTTTTTTTTTTTCTATAAAAAACACATTTTTCATGTTCACCAGTAACTTTGTTGATTTTGGATATTTTTAGTATGTCGGCTCTCCCCCGCTGTTGGCTTCTAGTGGGTGGAGGCCAGGGGTGCTGTTCAACACCTTCCAATGCATAAGGCAGCTCCACAGCAAAGAATTGTTCGGGCAAAATGTCAGTAGGACCAAAAAACTTCGCAAACCACTTTTGACATGTTCGATCAGTCGCAGCACCTTCTCCATACGCTGCACAAATCTTTTTTTGCATTTCAGTTGTGTTCTTTACCTTTCTTGAAATAATAAAGCATAATGCACTGAAAATGTTGCATATCTTCCATCTTCAAATTCAAATGGCTGCACAAAAATTCACCCATTCTTTAAAGTTTTTTTAAAATGCATGCTGATATGAGAGCTGTCACAATGCAGTCTAACAAAATTGTTTCAAATGATGTTAAAGACAACTAAGCACCACTAGAGCCATCGTAAGGAAAAAACTAAACAAGCGTTTTGGCCAACCCAATACATGGCGACAGAAGATGATCTGACTTTGGGTGGTGGGCACACAATGCAATATACAGGCCAGGTGTCATAGAAATATACACCTGAAACCTATTTAATCTTATTAACCAAAGTAACCCCAATAAATTTAATTTAAAAATAAAAATAAAAGTGATGTTACCAAACTATGTTTAACAATGGATGAGTAAAGTGTATGGTGATGTTTTGGTATGATGGCTTTGTTTATGAATGTCTGAAAGGTTTATATCTTCATGATAAAAAACCCCATTCTAATTCCATCCTACATGAAATTTTTGTTTACTTACAAAATCAAATTGAGTGCTTTCTCTTAACCAAAGGAAATTTTAAGGAGTTTTTTTTAATTCAGGTGAAATTCACATAACATAGTTAACCACTTTCAAGTGTCCAGTTCAGTGGAATTCGGGTGTATTCACCATGTTGTGCAACCATTACCTCTGTCAGGTTTAACGGTTGTTTCATCACCGCAGAACACACTGTCCGTGTCTGGTAACTGCTCCTGGTCCTTCCTTCTCCCATTCCTGGGTAACTGCTCACTGGCTCTCTCTGTTTCCATGGGTTTTCTTATTCTAGATAGATCATAAAAAAGGGATCATACACCATGTGGCCTTTTGTGTCTGGCTCCTTTCACTTACTATAGTATTTTTGACATTCATCCAAGCTGTAACAAAGATCAGTACCTCTTTCCTTCTTATGGCTGAGTGATATTCCATTGCTTTTGTACACCTTGTTTATCTGTTCATCGGTAGATGACTTTCACCTTATAGCTTTACCAATAATGCTTCTATAAACATTTGCATTCAAGTTTCTGTGTGTACATATGTTTTCATCTCTCTTGGGTACATATCTAGGGTAGAACCTCTGGACCATATGGTAATTCTGTGCTTAACTATTTGTTAGGAACCGCCAAACTTCTCCACAGTGACTATACCATTTTACATTCACATGAGCAATGCCCACGGGTTCCTGTTTCTCCACATCCTCACCAACACTTGTTATTTTCCTTTTTTTTTTTGTTATAGTCATCCTATTAAGTATAAAATAGTATATCTCATTATGGTTTTGATTTGCATTTCCTTAATGACCATTGATGTTGAATATCTTTTCCTGTGCTCAATGGCCATTTGTATATACTCTTTTTAGAAATGTCTATTCAAGTCTGTTGCCTTTTTTTTTCTTAAATCCTTACCTGAGCATATGTTCACTGATTTTTAGAGCGAGAGAAGGGGGGGGGGAGAGAAAGAGGGAAACATCAATTGGTTGCCTCCCATACACACCCTGAGTGGGAATCGAACCTGCAACCTTTTCTTGTGGACCAGGGCGATGCTCCAACCAGATGAGCCACCGACCAGGGCCACTGCCCATTTTTTAATTGGGTAGTTTCTCTTTTGTTATTGAATGGTAAGAATTCTTTATATAATCATTCTGGATTTTAGCTTAATATAGAAAAGAATAACAAAATATTCAAACATGATAAAAATTTAATAAAAACAAAATTGCCATAATCATATGTAGTTTTTTAATAATCAAATTCAATTGAGATATTAGAAAACACTCATATTCTGAGAATTTAGTCCTGAGTTATTTTATTTCTTAGGACCACAAACACCTTATGATACTAGCCACCCAGGTGTGATCATTCTGGACCAGGCGAAGAAAACACATACCCATTTATCCAGGGCAGTCTGTTTACTGGAGGACCAAAAGGTACTGGAGCTGCAGACACCAGGGGGTGTTGACATGGTATCAGTTCACTGGATTTGGCTCAATCCTTGAATGTAATTCCAAAGTCAGTGTGAAAGGAAAGACTGCTTGGCTAATGACAGCAGGTAGCTCAGACTTTGCAGGGAGACTCCGTGTTCCATGGATCCTGGCTCAGTGATCTAGTGCCGCCGATGACGGCCAGCCATCTCGTCCTCAATTAATCCCAAGCGCTGGCCACCATTTCTTTGTCCCCCTGCTACTTCCACTGCTTGCCACTTCCCTGGTAAATTTGAGTCTGCAAACTCTTCGGGTGAGCAGGGGGTCACTTCTCTGTTGCACTCAGTAAGCTGCTGCCTGAAGCTGAGGTCTCTGTGGCATCCCACGAAGGTCCTCAAGCAGAAAAACGTCATGGAAAGGAGTTCCTCAAATATCCTGGATATTAACTCCTTTTCAGACCTGTGATTCGCAAATATTTTCTTCCATTCTGTGGATTGTCTTTTCACATCGTTGATAATGAATGCCCTTTGATACAAAAAAGGTTTTAATTTTTATAAAGTCCAATTTATCTACTTTTCTGTTGCTTTGCTTTTGGTGTCAAATCCATGGCCAAATCCAAAGTTACAAGGGTTTATGCTTACATTTTCTTCTACGAGGTTTATAATTTTATCTCTTATACTTAGGTCAGTGATCCATTTAGAGTTCATTTTTATAAGTGGAGTGAAGTACTGATCCTACTTCATTCTTTTGTATGTGGCCATCAGTTGTCCGATCACCATTTGTTGAAGAGACTTCTTTCCCATTGATTGATCTTGGCACCCTGGTCAACAATCAGTTGGCCGTAGATGTGTGGGTTGATTTCTGGACTCAGTCTGTTCCATCACTCTATTTGGCTACTGTCTTTATGGCAGAACCACACTCTTGATTACTGTAGCTTTGTAGTGAGTTTTGAATTTGGACAGTGTGAGTTCTCTAGTTTTGTTTTTCTTTTCCAACACTGTGTTGGCCATGCAGGGTCCCTTGCAACTCTATGCATTTGAGAATTGGCTTTTCCATTTCTGCCAAAAAAGATGACCACAGGAACTCCAGTGGAGACTGTGCTGCATCTGTACATGTGCCCGCCACTCTGGGGAGTGCTGCCGCCCTTGCAGCATGAAGTCTTCCCACGCGCGAAAGTGGGCTGTCTCCCCGTTTCATCGTGTCTTTCATTTCTTTCAGCGGTGCTTTGTAGTTTTCGATGTCCAAGTGTTTGGTTCAGTTTATCCCTAGGATGCTATTGTATGTGGCATTGTTTTATTAGTTTCAGTTTGATTTCAGTAGATGGAAATACTGATTTATGGATGCTGATCTTGTACCCTGAAACTTTACTGAATTGGTTTATTAACTCTATTCAGTTTTCACTGTGGATTCTTTGGGATATTGTACATAGGGGATATCTGCAAATATGGATCAGTTTACAGTCTCTGATTTGGATGCCTCTTGTTTCTCTTTTCTGCCCGATTGCTCTGGCCAGAACTTCTAGCACGCTGTCGAGCAGCAATGAAAGTGGACACCCTTGTCTTGTTCCGTCATCTTAGGGGAAAGCATTCTGTCTTTAACCACTGAGCATGGCTGGCAGTTGTGGGGTTTTTAATAAATGCCCTCCTTCATGTTAAGGAAGTTCCCTTCTGTACTCGCCTGGCAGGGGAGGGAGATACCATGATCAAGGAAGCTCCCTTCTCGTCCTAGTTTACTGAGTGTTTATTTCATGAAACGGTGAGACGTGGCTCCCTTTTTAATGAAAGTTTGGCTAAAATAATAAAGTGCTGACTTTTGGTGATTCCATTTCTTTGTGGGTAACTCAATGTGGCCATATTCACTTAGGTGGTGGACATCATGCGAGTCAATGTGGACAAGGTATTGGAGAGAGACCAGAAGCTCTCTGAGTTAGACGACCGCGCAGACGCTCTGCAGGCAGGGGCTTCCCAGTTCGAAACGAACGCTGCCAAGTTGAAGAGGAAGTACTGGTGGAAGAACTGCAAGGTAATCCTCTTCCGCTCATCCACACAGTGAGTCGCCCTCTGCATCCTCAGGGGCAGGTGAAGCCCACAGACACTAGACTCAGATCGGTTTCGCAGGTGAGTTTGACTCCCCACACGTGGAGATCTGGACCGACGCTGAATCCAGAACACTGCGCGCCATGTTCTCACCCTACAACTGGGGCGTCGCCGTGTGCTGTGGCTGTCCTAGGAGCATGCGGGAGTGTCCAGACTTAATCACAGGCATAAGCCCCTTCCAGCCACCCACCCCCGGGGGGCTCTGAACACAAACTAACAGCAGAGGGCCGGAGTAGGTGGTCCGTTTGCGTGTGGTTCTGTGAGTGGCCCCCGCACCGAGGGAAAGAGCCTCTCAAAAGCCACTGCTCCCTCCAGAAGAGCAGGAATTATTAATTTCAGTTTGATTTCAGTAGATGGAAATACTGATTTATAGATGCTGATCTTGTACCCTGAAACTTTACTGAATTTGTTTATTAACCCTATTCAGTTTTTACTCTGGATTCTTTGGGATATTGTACATAGGGACTATCTGCAAATATGGATCAGTTTACAGTCTCTAATTTGGATGCCTGTTGTTTCTCTTTGCTGCCTGATTGCTCTGAGGCCTGGGCCAAAGCAGATTTTACAGGACCACCAAAGCGATGTCCTGCCTCTTGGTTTAGAAGTGACACTTTCCAAACATGGACACGTTTAGTAGCCCCTCCCAGTGTGGAGAACTTGTATACACAAACAGACGCCTGCTTAGGGCCCCAGCTTGTTTGAAGAGTTTATAAAAAGCAGATAAGTAACCTCTGGGTCCTAACTGAGAACCCTGTATGTAGGCTTTAAGAACTGTGAATTATTTCAGATTGCAGTGCACCTGAACTTCTTTCATTGGCTAGAATGATACTGTCTGACGCTCTTCAGTAAGCACGTTAATATCTCTGAAATGTGACATGCACGTGTGTTCCCTTACAGATGTGGGCCATAGGTGTCAGCATCGTGGTCATCATCATCATCATCATCATCGGTGAGTGCGCCTGCTCCCAGTCCCTTGAAACTTGTGTGTTCACAGTTGATTGCATGTGCAAGAACTCAAAACATATCCTCAGAAATGTTAGTTTATTACAAAGATTTTCATTTTCTTTAGTAACTTTTAAATAGTTGATTGTTGTTCGATGGAAGTCTAATTTTTGATGTAAACATTAATGGTTTGAAATTAGAGAAAACTTACTCCTTTCCACTGGCCTATCAGTTCTCTGTCTGCATATTTTCATCAGCTCTTTTCTCCTGTGAGAAACAGTGTAGTCTAGTGATTGAAAGCACGGGCTCCCTGTGAACCGCACTGGCTCCACCACTGTCCAGCTGGGGAGCTTTGCAAAGGATGGTAATAATCTCTGGGCTTGAGTGTCCTCATTTGTAAAATGGGGACAGTAAGAGTACCTACCTCATAGGTTTGTTCTGAGGACAAAACTGGTAAATACATAAGAAGCGCTTAGGACAGTGCCTGGCATGTGATGATAATGACAGTTACATAAATAAGCAAATACACGCATCCCTGTTGTTACTGTGACTGCTAATGGGACTGCGTGCAGCACCGGAACAGCCCGTTGCCGTTTGAGCCCAGTACAAAAATGTCATCTTCAGTCCTCTTCCTTCAAGTCTCCCCTAGCACTCCGCAAGCTCGGGTGAGACGCTAGTGGGAAATGGGCCAAATCGCATTTCTGGTCACATGTAGACTAGTGTTCATCGTTAATTCTGGATTTGCTTTGAACGACTAAACTGCTGTTTTCCTTGATTTTTTTGCATTTCCCTGCCTATTAGTGTTGAGCATTTCTCCGTGAAGAACCAGTGAAACTCAGCCTTCTGTTCCAGACACCTCTTCAGGATTTTTGACTTAGAACCTGCTTTATCATCGAGCTTACATATTGTAATATCTAAAATGTTTATTTTCTGTTAGTTAATGTAAAGTTTGATTTTTAGAAAATGTGCCTTTTTAAAAATATGCACTCTAACCCAGAAGTGTGGTCAGTGCAGCCCACATTTCGCACAGTGCCTTTACGGATGTACACGCGGGCTGATGGCGAGGGCTCCTTCAACTTCAGGGTGTCACAACCTAGAAGTAACATTGTCTAGTTGCCATTAATTCCAGGTAAGGGGATTTTTTCTAAGTGAGCTATCCTTGCCATAGGACCTTATCTACAGAACCGCATTTTAAACCTTCGGGTAATCAGAGTTTCAATTTGTGCCTCCAGAGATAACACTACTGTCTAACTGAAGTTTGTGACAATGACATGCTGTGCCTTATTTCTCCACTTTTCCGATTCCCTCCAAGGGAACCCTCTACTGTTTATGAGCACTACTGACTCTTTCAATATATTTAAACTAGGATGCTGGTAAAGAATTTTTGCTTTTACATTAGATACAAAGATGTTTACTTTCGTGTTACTGTTTTGTATCATTTGCTAAAAATATTTTAATCAGAAATAATCTCTTAAAACATTTTTATAGAACTATGGCTGTGACCAAAGTTTCTCTTTTGCCAAAAAGTTAAATCCCAATAAAATGCCCTTAAGTCTGTTCCTGACCTGACAGATAAATCTGAAAAGCGACAGATGGAATGCAAGGTGCCCTTCAGAATTAAAGTTGTAATATCACTTGTGAAGCTTCTATATCCTGACAGGGCCTTCTTGCTTGTGAAATACTGTGGGTGGTGCAGCGCCCTTTCCTAGTCAGCATTTCTCCCGGGGTCAGAGAAGGCTCGGGCTAGACCCCGCCCCGCTCCTACCCAGAGACAGATTGCAGAACACCAGCTGTGGGCTCCAGTATGTTTCTAAGAATTATGTGAGCAACAATTTTGTAGCCTTCAAGCAAGACATCTGTGAACTGATCATTATTTCGCCCAGTCCTCAGAGGCTATAGCTTTTTGAAGTCTGTTTCTGTTTTTACTCATATTCCAAATCCTACGTCTGTCTGTTAAATTATGCTTTCAATTAGCATTGGTCAGGGGTGGCTGACTTTTCACAGAAACAGCTGACCAGAGACACTTACTTTCTTCAGTGCATTGGACTGTTGCACAAGAGGCTGCTTTGGAAATGGCTGTTGTCATCCAAGAGACTTTTGTTGAGACTTTCAACATCAGGCTGTGTGGCCTAAGGACAGGAATTAGTCTGAATGAAACAGGCAAGGAGGCGCTGAGGGAGGAACGCAGAGGTTTACCACTGTGTGGCCCATTGTACTGGAATATTCTAAAATTCTTTTCACGTGCTAGTATGTGACTTACAAAGCATCAATGGCTGAGGCACACCAGGACACCGGTTCCATTTCTTTGGTATCTGTTCCCCTGTCAGCACTGAAATGACATCATGTTGGAAACAGGCCCAGTGGCTGTGAGAGGGAGGCAGCAGTCAGTGTCGGGGTGGGAGCCCCACCTGGGCCCAGGGACTCTGGCCAGGCCCGACCCAAAACTCTGGTGCTCTCCTTGGCCTCGATGCTCAGTCCCAGGTAACCCGCCGGCTCCTGCACTAACCCAGGAATACCTCGCTGTATCTGTGCTAATTTAGCTGGGAACTTGCCCACTGAAATGAACTGAATAAAGTGTTATAAACCTAACTCCGGAAGCTGTGTTGCTTTAGAGGAGGAGTGCGCCTGGCCCGAGTCCGGGAAACCGCACTCCTGTCCCCCCCGCCCGCCCCCCCAGCGCATCCCCACACGCGAGCCCACAGAAGCAAACCGCCCGCCTTGAGAATAGTGTCTCAGTGCAGGAGATGAGTGGGGAACTTGCTTTCTCATGAATACCACCAGTATCTTCAGCATGTGGCTTTTGAAGTTCTTAAATACCTGGTCTTTCCAAAGTGATACGCAGGCCTGGCCTTGTACGTGGCCCAGTAGCTGCCTACCTGGGACACGGGGACTGTACCTGGGGGGTGAGGCACATCTCCGAACACACGGCTCTCGTCCTGATTCTGCATATCTTTCCCCGTGAACATACTTCTCTTATCTTCAACCTCTAGGGAACTGTATAATATGGGTGGAAGTAGGCTTTTGCTTCAGTTCACAATAAAATGTCAGTTTCTGTAAAACCCTGTGGGGAGAGGGGAGGCTGACTTTCTCCCATTGCCTGGGACAGATGGTCACTGCCCTTCTTGTCTGACATACTATTGTGTTCTGGAAAAGAACTGCAGAATTGTGTCTTTTGTTCAGGCCATTTCTTCAGTGAAACCTGTGTGAACTTTTGGTGCCGTTTTCAAGATTTGGAAGGAAAATCTACCACATATGAGCTTTGCTGTGCCTCCCTCAAATATCGGGGTTCCTTGGGCCTGGTCCTCAGCCAACCTGTCATCCCGCGCTCCTCACCAATCTGTCCCATGATCTCCCTCTTCGTTAGCCGACTCCCTAGTTGGACCCAGGCCTCAAACTCAACACGCGCAAATGGAACGGAGCGCCCCTGCCTCGCCCTCCTCCTGCGGTAGCAGTGTCCTCCCTCCACCAGAACATACCACCCCAGATTCCCCGGTTCACGTCCCTTCCCGAGCAGCTCATCTTAAACCGGGCTCAGAGTTGCCCTGGATTGTTCTCTTCCCACAACCCATTCAACCCATTGGCAAGTCTCCACCCCCAAACGTGTATCCCTGTAATCAACAGCCTCCTGTTAACCTGCCTGTGTAGCGGTCTGACCGATACAAATCCCTGTCGTGCTGAAAACCCTCCTCTTTCCACTGCCGTTACAAAAAACCCCCAAAAGCTTCCGTTCTGATAAAGCCCCCCTGGGATCCGGCCCTTCCTCTCACGTCGTTCCCCAGGCCTAGCGCAGAGCCTGCTCCTCGGCAACGGGCCGCCTCTGCTTCGGGCCGCCGCGCCCCCACCCCCAACCTGCCTGCCTCAGGTTTCTGTTCCACCTTATCAGAGATGCCTTCTGAACGCACTTCAGGGAGTTGTTCGTATGTCTTATGTCAGTAAAATGGAGGCTCCCTGAGTGGCAGGAACTTTTGCCCTCACTCTCCCCAGGGGCCACCGTCATCTCTTCCCAGATACGCACTCCAAATACTTGTTGCATGAGGGCAGTTTGACAAAGCAGCTTTGGAGAATGAGATCTGCCACCAACTGGAAAAAGGGGCATTATCCCACACATGACAGGCACAGAGGGCCCCCTTCCCTTCCCACGCATTGCCTTGCATTCACCCAGGACACACATCCCGAGGCTTCCCGACGTGCGGGCACCGACGAGGGGTGGAGCCTGCACCGAGCCTGCGATTTCGAAGGAGTTGGTACGCAACCTAAAAATAGTCTCCCGATTGCCAGACCGGTATTTTTAAAACGGCTGCTTCTCTACACCTCCCTTTAAAAAAAAAAAAAAAGAGAGAGAGAGTGCCTTTTACACACACTTGTCTCCCTCCAGTTGCCAAGTGAGTCTGTAACTTCAGGAAGACCAGAGAAATATTTAAGTGTCACCGTCAGAATTCCGTTTTTAAAAATAGGGTTTGATTTTCCCAGGGCTGCTCCAAGCCCCTCACCGAAAGAGCTGGCGGGACGGAAAGCAACGGTAGGAAACACTGAAACTATGGGAACCTGAGAAGACACAGAGACAGCGCTCAAAGGCCAGAGCCTTCCTCCAACTGCCCCAGGGGGATCCCCATTCGCCACTCCCCGCTTCCCCAGCAGGGCTCCCTTCCACTCCCGGCCACCTGCGCCTGGCTCCCCACCCCGCCGCCTCTCACAGGAAGACCCCGGCGGCCCCACCCACCTCTTACTACTAGGGTCCCGCCCCCCCACCCCTTGACTGACCGCGGAAGCGCCCTATCACGAACGTGCTGGCTCCAGCGCCCCCTCCCCCCCCCGCGCGGCTCAACACCCACCCCCTGTGCCCTGGAGCCGTGGAGGGGGCCGGGCGCTCGACTGGCGCGGCGAGGGCTCCAACCTCCCCCAGGGTCCCTCCATCTCCTGCTTACACGCCAGCCTGTTGGGATTGGCCAGCCTTCCGCCCTCTGCACGTTATGTAATGAGCTGTGGGACCTTCGCCCCCGCCCACTCGCCCTCGATTATGTAACCCGGGCGCCCCAGTCCGGGCCCCGCCCATGGGCCAATGGGGGCCCTCGCTGCCGGTGGCGGCGGCCAATCGTGCGGTTGGAGGGCGGGGTCTCGTCACGTGGCAGGAGGGGGGCGCGGCGCGGGCGGCCGCCCAGCACGCGGCGGGCCTCGAGACTCCGGGGCCCCACGGGGCTGGGCGAGCGGGTGTGCGAGAGGCTGAGCTAGGGGCCCCAAGTCGGCGGCGGAGGCGGCGGCGACTGCGGGTGAGTGCTGGGGTCCGGCGGGGAGGCCTCGGAGCTCGCTGGCCGCAGGTTGTCCTGAGCCTGACCTGCGCTCGGGGACCGCCGTCGGGCAGCGCCGGGTCGGGAAGCTGGGGTCCCCGGAAGTTTGTGCTTAAAGTTGCCCCCTTCGCCGGGACCTATTTCCGGGTGCAAGCCGACTTTGCAGAGCTGTGGGTGGGCAGATTGGTGAGCCCGAATCAGGCTTTGTGACCGCCCGGGCTGAGGGACCTCCCCAGGGCTGCCCAACTGGCGAGCCACAGCCTAGTTTCCCGCATCAAATTCAAATTGCCCTTTTCATTTAATATTTGTCACCTGTGCCCACCCGCCCCCAAGGCTGGACCTCCCGTGAGTGAAGACGTCCAAAACTGTATGGAAACACTGGAAAGGAAAGTGCCTCCAGATGATCAGTGATTGCCGGCTTCTGATGACTGATCATTTCCTCTAATGCAATGGCATGGATCAAAACGAGGAGTAAATTTCTGTCAGTAGCTGCAAAGTAAGAAAAAGGCAGGCAACAGAATAAGACTGCCAAGCAAAGAAAGATGGACCCTTGTGAAGACCTAAAAATGTCCAGCCGTAAATCCGACTCCCCCGGGGTTGAAACTAATGGACTTGAAGGACCACCGGCCAGCGGCACTGAGGCCCCGGAGAAAGAATCTGATGAGATATGGAGTCAGAAATACCAACTTAAGAGCAAATACCTGGAGAGCAGCAACAGGTGACACTTACAGTCTGGTTTGTTTGTTGTTCTTGGCCCGAGTACTAAAAGGGAACGGAGGGTTCAAGTCTTTCTTTTGTTTGTTTTTAAGTAAGACTGGAAGAAAGTGTAAGGGAAAATCAGGGAACTTCGAGTGAAATGCTCTGGGAAACTGAAGAAAATTCCCCAAAAGTAGGTAAAAAGTGGTTAAGGAACTTAGCTGAGTTGAGGCTGAAGTGGAAAGGAGAGTGGAAAATGTTTGACAATTACCAGTGTCTTTGGCTGGGATTCTGTGGCCTGTAACAAAGAGATAAACCTGTGATCTAAAAGAGCTGATACATGTTAAGCACTTAGGAAGTTGCTTGGCACATAATACGCTGTTCAATAAAAGGGCTGGTAAACAGTCATTGAAAGTGTGAATTTATTTTTATCTCACAGTGAACAGCAAGATCGAAACAGAGTTTCTGAAGAGCTGATAATGGTTGTCCAAGAAATGAAAAAACACTTCCCGTCGGAGAGACACAATAAACCAAGCACTGTAGATGCCCTCAACTATGCCCTTCGCTGTGTACAGAGTGTCCAAGGTAAACGGGCTGGAGGGAGAACACAGCCATGCGAGGCCACCCTTGCTCGGAAGCGTCAGCCAGGCCAGATGAGCTGTCAGTGACGTTGTCCTCACAGAAATGTTTTGATATTTTTACGCCGTTTTATGTATGATGAACAAATCTGTGGCTGATCCCTTGAGGGTCTTGGCTTTCCACGCGAGGAGCGCGGGAGAACCGGATTTGCCTAAGGGTTTGGTAGCGGTGCTGTGTGTTGCTGATCTGTTGCAGGAGAGTAGGGTTCAGTATGAGCGCATTCTGAAGACTCACTTTTAAAAGTATTCTTTTCTGTGGGTAATGGGGGGAAAATATATTTGACTACAAACTTTTTACTTTTCCCTGCCATTCATATGCTTTTAAAGTACGCTCACGATGTATCAGGAATTTAGCCAATTAAAACACAGATGATTGTAAACACTTTTTCCTTCTTATCTCTGACTTTCCTTCTCAAGGGACTGCCTAACGTACAGTGTCTCGGGCACAGATCTGTGGCTTCCCGTGTCACACGTGGTTCCTGAGTGCTGGAGTGCTGTTTCTGTCATGGCAGTGCCCTGTGTGCATTTGGAACTTGGGGTTTCAGTCCCCTGTTGAGGACCTTAGGTGTTCTGTTCCTTGTGATCTAGATCATGCAGGATTCAGAAAATTCAAAATCTAAAGTTTACACAACTCTCAGTATTTGAGGTGAAGGAGGGAGATCATCTGGTTTCGAGGACAACACAGAGGTGTGTCCTCCTGTGAAGAAGAAGCCAGCTTATCTAGTCATAGAAATGATTTCCTAAAGATACTGTTTTCACTGGACTCCCTATTTATTTTCCTGTGTTTCTTAGCAAACAGTGAGTTTTTCCAGATTCTCAGTCAAAATGGAGCACCTCAAGCAGATGTGACCATGTACAGTCTTGAGGAGCTGGCCACTATTGCGTCAGAACATACTTCCAAAAACACAGTAAGAACTCACGAATTTTGCCATGTCAACCTGGGTGATTTTTCCTAACAGCCTTATCTAGGTGCAGGCGTTCACAGACAGCAGTGGAGAGTGTCGGTCGGTAGCCACGGTGTGAGGTAGACGAGGAGAAAAGTGCTGGAGAGCGTGTGCAGGGCCCCGGCCCTGGCCAGGGGACAGGGCCGCGGACGAGAGCGGGGCGGCGGCCGTGTGCCGCTGCTTCGGCCCTGAGGCGCCTCTGCCTCCGGAGCATCCCCGAGCTCTCTCAAACTAAAGGCAAGGGTAGCCCTGCAGCGTGACATCCTGCATCTTATTCTGATCTCCAAGTTGTTAATTTCTATTTATATCATTCTTAGTTCCCATACCTACTACTTCAAGTTGTAACAACTGGATTTTATAGAACAGGTGAGTTGAGATGCTGTCAGTTTTTTTAAAGTTTTGGAAGAGATATTTAGTATATCTTTTTTGGATCTCTTCATGTTGACAGGATAATTTCACCTCATGTTTTGTTGATATGATGGAGATTGCTCTATGTTTAGATCTCAACATAATTGTAACTTAAAAATTTTAGAATATTGGAACATGAGCTATCCCTGATATTATAATTGTGCTTATATTACTAACCATTGTGTTCATAGTAGTATAGTAAGTGCTATGGAGATTTAAGCGGGGAAAAGCGTAAGAAAACACATCCCCTTGATGGCATTCAGAGTAAAGCTAACAAGGAAAACAGGCCAATGCTAACTGGTAGAAACAGTGGTTGGTTATCATAACTAAGTTATATTTATGTCCCATGAAACAAAGTCAAGAAATAATTTTTTTTTCCCATGCACACCCAAGGACATTTTTTCATTGCTTTTAGAAAGAGACGAAGGGAAAGAGAAAAACATCGATGAGAGAGAAGCACTGATCCGTTGCTTTCTGTAGGTGTCCGGACCGGGGGTCAAGCTCACAAACGTTCGGTTACGGGACAGTGCTCCAACCAGCTGAGCCACACAGGCCAGGGCTCAGAGGAAGAGTTCTTGTGCAATGATGTTGGTTAAAGACAACACCTTCAAGGTGCCTCCTGAGCCTGGTCTTGCAGCCTAGAATATGCTTTGGTGAGGAGAAGGCAGTCCTTCCAGGTGTAAAGCACAGCTTGCAAAGGAGAAGGGATCAGAAGTTTATGTATCTGTACTGTCTGTGTACTTAGTCAGTGTAGAATGAGCTGCTGTGGTGTTTTGGGCTGGAAATAAAGCCTTCAAAAGGCACCATGCAGGTTTCATGGTGTTGCCTTTGCAGGATGTGTCTGTGAGTGTGTGTGTGTGCTCTTAGCTACTGCTCATGGTAGAAATTTAGAAGGAATTTATACCTTTCATGGGATGTTGCTGGTATCTCAATATTTGCATTTATTCTACATGTTTTTCATAGGATACCTTTGTGGCAGTTTTTTCATTTCTGTCTGGGAGGTTAGTGCACATTTCTGAGCAGGCTACTTCGATCCTGAATTGTAAGAAAGATTTCTTGGAGTCTTCTCATTTCGTTGAACTGCTTGCCCCTCAAGACGTGAGGATGTTCTACACGCACACTGCCCACACCCAGCTTCCCTTCTGGAACAACTGGACACAGAGAGGTAATGGGACCAAAATTCAGCTCTCTGCCTTGCCTCATTAGATCAGCTTTATTCTTCCAATAATAGCACAGAAATTAATGCATTATTTAGAATAGGCAGGCCGTATGGGTTTTTTTTAAATTTCTCTTTTTCGAAAAGTAGAATGTGATGAAAATAACATTTTAAACGCTTCTAAATCCTTAAAGATTCAGTAGATTTGCTATTATGTAGCCATGTTAGTTTGATAGGTTACATATTATAAATACAGTTTGAGTGCCAGCGTCGTATGTAGCAGGTTAATTGCTATAAAGGCTCTGCTTCTTTTAAGTTAATAAAGTTAAATGTTTTTCCTCTTATTTTGACTTCATTAAGTCTTTGCTTTGGGGATAAACATCTGGCGGTTAGCTTTCTTTTCTACTTTTTCTTTTTTCATGAACTTCTAAAAGTTCATGAATGTCATTACTTTTTCTTCTGAAATGCTTACTTCCCTGACCTGGGGATGCTTGGTCACAGTTTTCTTTGTGCCATTCAGTCCTGTGTGATCTTTAAACTATTCATTCTCTTTTTTACGTCACTGTTTATTATTTCACATTCTTTGAAAAGTGTCTCTTAAGAGCTTAGTTCATCCATCTGTTTGATTCCAAGTCCTTTCCTTTAATTTTTAAAAAATGGGAATTACCATATTCTGCCGTGTATAATGTGTGCCTGCGTTAATGTGTGCATCATATATGGGATTATTATACTTACTATACCCATGGCATGTAATCATTATACCCATGTATAACAGGCATCCTTATTTTTCCTTCAAAAATTTGAGCAAAAAAGTGCTCATTACACACGGTGAAATAAGGTAACTTTTTATTGTAAGAAAACACATTGACAAAATTGACTGTATTAGCCATTTTTAAGTGTACAGCTCAGCAGTGTTATGCACATGCACGCTGCTGTGAAACAGATCTCCGGAACTTTATCATCTTGCAAATCTAAAGCTCAGTGTCCATTCGGATTTTTACTCCAGTGCTCGGTGCAGTGAAGAACGATCTTGCTTCTTTTTTCATTTGTGAACCTTTGCCCCATCTTTTATGCACATTGTGTATGAGTTTCAGAAAACAAACCTGCCATCCACGCTACGCTCCAGCTCCCTGCCCCTGTTGCCGCCACTCAGAAACATCGACTTCGCTCCTCTTTCTCTTTTCTAAACGCCTTCGTCCAACTGTTCATTGCGCGTATTCGTTTCTCTGCACTTGTTACCCGTTCAGTCGTTCGGTAAGCGGTGACCCCACAGTCACTGTGGGCCCGGAGCTGCTCTAGCTGCCGAGGCCCCAGCCACAGGCAGCCCCGCTGGCTGGCGGGGCGGGGTTCAGGCTCGCCCACGCCCACCCAGTGCTCTCCCTCCCATTCGCCTGAGGAGCCTCCGTGTCCCCTTTCCAGCCTTTTTCTCTCTGCTGGTCGCTTACGGCTGTGCACGTCCCCTCTGTGTGAAGCATAGTCTGGCCTGAAATTGTTGACTTTAAACCTACACATTTTCTTGCTGCATTGAGACCTGATGCGCATGGGTTTGCTTCGTGCCCTGCGCTCTGCCTCATGGCCCTCGAGCCGCTGTCCTGAGCGTGGCTGTCACGCTCCCCAGCGGCTGTGGTAGGGGCCCCTACTCCTCCTCTCTGTCCCTTCCTCTGAGCGCAGAGAATGTGACGAGGACACAGGAAGCTGTAACCTCAGCTGTTGTCCGCATTCGGCCCTGCATTAGAGCAGGTTCCAACTTCCTTTGTGGCCTAGACCTCTCAGGAGGAGCCGGCTGCTGTTTCTTCAGAACGCACTTAAAAAGTGAGAAGTGGCATGTGGCCTCAGAGGTGTGGCAGTGAGGAGGCCCACGCCTGGGTTTGAGGTCACATGGTCGGCCCCCTGTGTTGTCTGAACGAAGGCAGTTGAGGCAGGTGCCTGTTGCGATATACAAATAGCGTAAGGAAGTGTGCCGGCCTAGAGGTGTGCTGTTTTCTACATGCAAAGAATTTTAAGCTAGGAATCTGAAGATCTTTAATTTTTTTTTTTTTTTTTCTTATCCTCACCCATGTGAGAGAGGCACATCGATTGGCTGCCTCTGATAGGCTCCCCAACCGGGGATCGAACCCTCCACCCAGGCATGTACCCTGATTGGGAATCGAACCCACAACCTTTTGGTGTATAGGACAACACTCCAACCACCCGAGGCACCCTGCCAGGGCTGAGGATCTGAGTTTTAAATTGAGTTCTGTCCCTTTGTGGACCTTGGAGGCCACTTAGCTTCTCAGTATAAAATAATCGTTCCCGACCAGACTACTAACACATGGTTACTGTGAGAGCCGAGAGCGGGTGGCTGGGGGGCATTTTGGAGGCTGGGAGTGGCCTGCAGCACCAGGGGCACCCTTGCTGCCGCTCCCTATTGAACGGGTGCCCAGGGACTCCTCTTCATGTGCTAGTGGGTTTAATCTTCCTAGAAACCTCGTGAGGCGTGGCTCTCATCGTCCCCAGCTGACAGAGACAGTAACCGTCAGTCAGGGGCAGCCGAGAAGCGAATGTCCAGTGGGGTCAGCTGCGCCGGGGACCTGGGAGAGGAGCCCCCGCCCCCAGTGCAGGGCCGACCCCCGCAGGAGGAGTGCGCTGGGCCTGCAGCGCGGCTCAGAGCTTGGGGGCGGCTTGGGGGCGGCAGCCGCAGGCGACTTCAGGCCACAGCTGAGCTGGGGGGGTCCCTGCGTCTCCAAGGGATGGCCCCCTCAGGGCCCCTTTCTGCCCGGGTAGGGCTGAGAGTAGCCTGCCGGGAGGCGTGTCCCCCGAAGCCGGGAGCGATGGCCTTTCTCAGCCGCCACAGTCCCGGAGGCACAGAGCTGAGCGCTGTGCCCGAGGCCGCACGGCCACGGTGCGCCGGGGGAGCCGCACTCCCGCTCCTAGCCACTGCCTCCCGGCAGCGTGGCTGCCCGTGACAGTCACTCCTGAGAAGGGGACCGTACCTAGCCAGGTGTTTGGAAGGGACACCAAGGTGGGTTCCTGTCCGTAAAAACTGTCAGAAAATGAAGGGTGTTTTTGAAATGCCCTCATCCTGCCTTAGTTTCTCCAGCTGCCACGTTCAGACTACAGCCTGTCTCTGCGCAATTAGTTCCTTAAGCTCGCTCGTTTGAGCTGTTCCTTCAGGTATTTCCTTCAGACACGGCGTAGGGACTGTCCCCTGCTTTCAGAATTCTGGGACTCTAACTTCCATAGCTGCGTGAAATTTGATAGTTTGATCATTGGTCCCTTGCCTTTTAAACTCGAGTTTGCTTTTTTTTTTAACTTGTGTTTGTTTTCCTTGATCATCCAAAAGCCCATTTTTCGATTCTTCCTGTGACCCTTTCCTTAGAAGAGCAGAAACCTGGACCAGATTCAGTGTTTGGCTCCTGAGAATTTCTGTGGTTTATGCTCCTTCAGGGTATGTTTTTTAACCACCTCCTTGGTTTTAAACATTTCCTTGGTTCCCATAACTGAGGACTTTTTGCTGCAGTGAATAAATACCCAAAAGCTATCTTCAGGGAGCTCTAAGCAGACAAAAAACAAACAGTCAAGCACTTGGGAAAAGGTTCAGCCCATCATCTGCCCTCAGATAGGCAAATTCGAACATTTCTGAATTACCACCTCACAAATCAATAAAATCAGTGAGCAATGTGGACAATGACACTTGTCAGTTGGTACAATCTTCCGGATGTTAGTTTGCCAACACATGATGAGAGTCATAAAATGGTTGTGTCATTTCACTGAGGAACAGGACTGGGGGGAATTTATACCAGGAAAGAAAACCATGAAAGGAATTTGTACATTGTATACCTTGAAGTGATCAGTAGTCAAACTCTCAGTTTTTGAGACATGTCCAGACTACTACAGCGGAATAGAATGTTACCACCAAAATAATTGTGTCAAAGGATTGTTACATGGACATTTGCAGAAATGAGTCTGGGCAGTTCCACAAGGGCCTGTTGGCAGGAGTAAGGGGGAGACTCAGTCCGATGCTCTGTTGTACCTGAGGGTTCCTGTTGGAACCGGAAAACCCTTGGAAAACCTTGGACGTGACCAGATCTTAAAGTGACGGGGGGGAGTCCTCTTTTAATCAAAGCTTCTCTCTCTTAAAAAGCAACTTTCTTGTTTGTGCGGTGACACTGTGCCAGTGTTTGTCTGAGGAAGTGCTGCTCGGCAGTGTCTCCACCGCAGTTGCTGACAGCTTCTCTTTGTCTCCAGCAGCGTCGCAGTACGACTACGCTCCGGTGAAGTCCTTTTTCTGCAGGATCCGGTGAGTGCAGTGGCCTGTGGAGGCCACAAGGGGGTGCTGGGCTCTGATTTTATTTAGCACTTGCTTGTGGTCGTTTTGTGTTCGCCAGGTCTGTTGTGGATACAAAGAACAAGACTTGGTTCTTGTCACAAGACGTTTGTATTTTGATTGAGGGGAAGAAGCATATACTCATGAGAAAAGTAGATAAAAATGCAGTAGGAAAAAGGTCAGAAAGATCATTCTTAACCTAGGGGCATTTTCAAATGACCGTGGTTGGGGCTCTTTTGTTTTTGTTTGTTTTTTGTGGTTTGGTCACATTTAAAGTTAATTTTTGAAATTTTGAATAACTTGAAAGAAAGCAAGGTAGTATATTTATGACAAGGATTTAAATGGTCCAGAGATAACTAAACTAGAGGAAATAGACCAACATTGTAATAGCAGTTGACTTCTCCTACTAAACTTACTGCCGTGTTCACCAGCGTTACGCTCATGCCCGTGCCCCTCGTGCAGTGGAGGCTGCGAGGCCGACTGGGCGTGAGTGCCTGCACCTGGCGCTCCGGGGCGAGGCCCAGGCCAGGGACAGGTGGCAGGTCGCCAGCACATGGACGGCACTGAACCCTCGGACGCAGGCAGAAGCAGGGGAGCCAGCCTGGGAGTGGAGGGCGCAGGGTCAGCAGGGGAGTCACGGAGCGCCTTGCTGGGGCCTAGCACGCCCAGCGGTCTGAGCCATTTCTCCTGAAACCTCCTCCTCATTGCAGAGTGAAGGGCCAGGGTTGCCCTTGGGTATTGAAAATTTAAGCTAATGTTTCCCTTTTCTTTAAAATAAATATGTTTAAGTATTTTAGATTGGGCTGTGTCTCTCTCAGGAATTACCAATAAAACATTTCCCCAGCCATGTTTTCCACTGGGCTAACCGAACATATCAGGGTGGCCAGGAACCATTTCTGTCCTTTGCAGTGGAGGTGAAAACAGGGAGCAAGAGAAACATTACTACCCGTTCCGGATTATCCCCTATCTGATCCACGTGCACAGCCCTGCCCGGCCGGAGTCAGAGCCCTGCTGCCTCACTCTAGCCGAGAAGATTCACTCTGGCTACGAAGGTCAGTCGGGAGAGTCTGCCGCCTGCACGTCATGGGGGCCCCGGGAGCCTGTTCACTGCAGCCCTGGGACAGGGGTGAGCCCCCAGACCTTCAGCTGGGCCCTGGGCTCTGGGGCACCGTAACCGGCTGTCCTGACAGTTCTGTTTGCTGGCCTCACGTCCTGGGCAGCCCTCTCCTTCGTGGGCAGCCCGGCCTCAGGGTCAAGCAGGGACTCGCCACACATCCTCAGGTCTCAGATCTTTTCTCTGCTGGTGACAGTCTGGTGGCCTTTTGCCTGTCTTGTGTGAAATATGAGCATTGAAGTAGTTGTACAGCAAGGTCACAAGAATGAATTGATGTTTTTAATGTGTTTTGAAACCCTCTGGTTTTTATCATGTGTAAATAGAAGCTTTTTAGGCTGATGGCAGAACTATGTTTTAAAATTCATGTATCAGTACAGAAGCAGCTCCCATTTATTATTTGAAATTATAGTCACTTCTGCTCTAAGTTGGCATATGCTTTTCTAAAAATGATGAGCCTGTGCAAAAAGAAATCACACAAAATAAAAACCACAGGGCTTATAGGAAAAATGAAGTTAGGGGCAGAATGCTCAAAAACTTAACCACACGTTAAAGGTAAGACAGGCTTCTATTAAAAACAGTAACAGTTTTAAACATTTAATGGTTAAAAAATGAAATTGGTGCAGCCACTATGGAAAACAGTATGGAAGTTCCTTAAAAAATTACCATATAACCCACCAATTCACTTTCAAGGATCCATCTAAGGACATCCAAAATATTAATTCCAAAAGATGGACACACCCCTCCATTCACTGTAGCACAGTTTACAACAGCCATGGTGGGGAAACAACCCAAGTGCCCATCCACAGACGATTGAATAAAGAACAGGTGGTACTTGTATATATGTTGGAATAGCAATCAGCCATAAAAAAAAATGAAATCTTACCATTTGCAGCAGCATGAATAGACCTAGATGCCATTGTGTGATGTGAGATACAGACAGAAAAAGACATAACACATGATTTCATTTATACGTGGAATCTAAAGGACGTTATCAATGAACAAAATAGAAAAAGAAGCCGACTCATAGATACAGAGTACCCACGGAGAGTTACCAGGTGGGAGCGCAGTTGGGGGACTGAGTGAGAAAGGTGAAGGGGTGGAGGCGTACAGGTCGGCTGCGATAGGCATGGGGGGTGTAAAGTGCAGCTCAGGGAATGCAGTAAAAAATACTGCAAGAGCCATGCATGGTGTCAGGTGAGTACAGAGCTACTGGGGGGCAGTCAGTCCCTAAATTACATTACTGTCCAACCACTATGCTGTACACCGGAAGCTAATATAAAATAATACTGAATGTCACCTGTAATTGAAAGATAAAAATTTAAAAAAGAAATGCACAAGCAATCCAGTAAATAGGGCTCCTCACCATGGGAGAGCCCCACAGTTTGCTTGTGGGCGTGGCTACTGGCATGATTGTGAGGGGCATGAGGAAGCATGTCTGAAATAAGACCGGCAGTTCTAACATCGGACGGACGGAGTCCCATAGTGCAGGGCGCACTGAGGAAGCAGGAGGGTGTTGGAGTTGTGTGCGTGTGTTTGTGTATTCCTGCGGGACTCCCTTCAGTTAGATGTTTTCTGTATTTACCTCATGTTGCTTGCCAGTGAAATTGTGCATAAGCAAATGCAGAATTTGCGTTATGCTCAAAGGTTCCCTAATGTATTTAATCAACATTTTCAAAACAAGCTATGGCAGAACTGACCATACCAACTTTATTATACAAATTAAAAAATGTTCATGTCATACTGACACTCTAAATCCTATGTGCTTAGTTATATACAACCACTAAAGATGACTAAACTGATCATGAACTGTAAGATGCTCCAGCTTTAAGATTATTTGTAAGATGAGTAAGCTAGTGTACACAGACTTTCTCTGTTGAAAATTAACTTTAGTGGGCATGACATTGTGACCTATTTAAAAGGTAGGTAAAGATGAAAATTATGATCATCTAACTGTAGCTTTGTCTGCTCAGACTGAGATTTTACCATTTCATATAGAAATTTTGTTAAGTGCTTAGTCGAGTGGATAATTAATTAGATATTTGCCTTTAAACGAATATCTATTTTCCATAGCTCCTCGAATCCCAGTGGATAAAAGAATTTTTACCACAACACACACTCCAGGGTGTGTTTTTCTTGAAATAGATGAACGGTAAGTACTTCTTTAAGCCTAAAATAAATTTGTTTCTGAAAATAAATGCAAATATGAAAAGGTTTACACATGCGTGCATACGTCTGCATTACATGTCTGCTGTCTAGCCATTATCTTTTGATTTTTGTTAGTTTGAAATTATTTGTGTTGTCTCAATTTTTAATATAAATATCTTTTAAATATGAAAAAAAGGTACACAAATACTGTGGGGAAATAGTCACATAATCTAAGAAATGTTGGTCATCCAACTCATTGCATCAAAATCTCCTGGGGAACCTGCCAACACACGGACTCACAGGCTCACCGCAGGCCGGCACGGCGGAGCTTCGCGGGTAAGAAATATCAATATAAAACACTCCTAAGATTTGAAAGTCATATTTGATTTCACAGCAGTCTGTTTTTTAGGTAAATCAGGAATTACTATTCCCTTTACACAAGAGGACAGTGAGCGAGGGCGCCAGTTTGCCAGGAACAGACGTGCTCTGTAATCACAGACAAGGCGGCAGCGCGATGCTGGGCCCAGCGCCTGGTCTGGGGTCGGTTCCCCGAGACGGGTGCTTCCCAAACCAGTTGATGAGTTTTCCTGAGTCTGAGGGGAGGGGAAAAGGAAAAAGACAGATATTGTATGTGTGTGCGCATGCACGCGTGTTTATAAAACTAAATTTAAGAATTGTTATTTATTTTGACTTTGGTCCTCTTTTAAGTGTGAAAATAGTCTTTTTTATTTAAAGAATAGTGAATTTTTTTTTAAATATCTTTATTTGGAAAAATAAAACATTGTTATTCCCCAATCTTCACCCTTCCATTTTCCCCCAATTTATTTAAAAATTTTTCTTACTCATGAAATTGCAAAATACCACACATTAGCATAAAGCAAAAATGTCAAAAACTTGGCACAGGTGTGATATGTTAATTTTGATTTTTAAAAAACATTCACATCTGAAAATGGGTTTATTTCATAACAGATACCCTGAAATAATAGTTGGTGGGATACTTTGTATAATATATTCTGTAGAAAGTAAGGTAATTTAACCAAGACTATTCTGAAAGTAGCTTAACTTTGATCGCATTAGACACTGTGAATCTGGAACAAAGGTGATGTTTATGGCGTCGGTTCTTCCCAAGTCGTCCCGAAGGTCTTGCCACAACTGCGCTCTGTGAACCTTTTGTCCTGCAAGTGTCTGTACTGGGTTATCTGTTGGGTGTGACCTTTGCAGGACATCATTTTTGTATAATTTTCATCATACTATACAAATTTGTAGCATGCTTTGTTCATTTAACCTCATAAGCATTTTTCTATGTTATGATGTGATCTTTGTATGCTTTTAAATGGCAGCAAAGTGGAGGACACTGGGACCTCTGAGGAGCTTGTGGAACATGTGGATTCCAGGACTCACCCGCGAAGCTCCGCCATGTTGGCCTGCGGTGAGCCTGTGAGTCCGTGTGTTGGCAGGTTCCCCAGACGGTTTTCGTGCAATGAGGCAGATGACCGACATTTCTTAGATTATGTGACTATTTCCCCACAGTACTCGTGTACCTTTTCTTCATACTTAAAATTAAGTAAAGAAGTATTTTTTTTTTAAAGTGCGTAGCATATAAAAAATACTGTGTATAACCTGTTGCCTGTGCTGGGTCTGCGCCCAGAGCCGTGCCTTTGCTGGGATACCTCCCTCAGGACCTGATCGGAACGTCCATCCTGACGCACCTGCACCCAGAGGATCGTGCGCTGATGGTTGCCATCCACCAGAAAGGTAAGGGCGGACTTCTTTATGGGAGGACATTACTTTCTTAATCGTTGATCTGATTTTTCATTTCATTTTTTATTAGATCTTAACCGTTAACTGGTCCGCGGTGTGTTGAAACTACTAAGACAACTTTTTGTCCTACTTTGACATTCTTAAAAATGTATAAATAAGTACCCCCAAAATGACATTTGTACTGTTTGTGTTCAAATCTTCTGTTATATAGTGCTGAAGTACGCGGGCCACCCTCCCTTTGAACACTCACCCGTCAGATTTTGTGCTCAGAACGGAGATTACGTCACCCTGGACTCGAGCTGGGCCAGCTTCGTGAACCCGTGGAGCCGGAAGGTCTCGCTCATCCTAGGTCGGCACAAAGTCCGAACGTAAGCCTGTCAATCTTCACAGTTTCTAAAAGAATCTTGTTTTACCAAGTAACATTCCTTCATGCACTTCCTCTATGTTGAATCAGTTAACACATGAACTAAATGGAACAGATTTTTTTTTCAGGGCTTTTGGAAGACAGTTTAGCAGTGTGTATCAGGGACCTTAAAAGATTCCTCTCTTTGACCTAACAGTCCCCTTCTGTAAATATTCTAAGAAATATGGGTAAACACAGAAAGACTATAGAAAGAAAAGACAGATTTTTTAAATTTATCATAATGGCAGACTTAGAATAGCTTAAGTGAACATCCTTAACTAGTCTGGAATACTCGCTTGACATGTTATCATATTGGTCAATAAACATTTTTAAACTTCCAGTCAGGATAGCAGCATAGGTAAACACAGTTCACCTCTTTGCACAACCACATCAAAATTACAACTCAATTACAGAACATCCGTCACTCAGAACCATGAGAAATCAAGTCTGACAGCTATGTAATTAAAGAAATCACACCTACCCAGACTGGTGGGAGGGGTGGAGATGTGGAATGGAATGGTCCCACATCCATGTGTGGTGGGTAAAAATTTGGGAGGGGTATCTTGGGAGCAAGGAGTCCCAGCCAAACACCAGGCTTCCCAGTCCAGTGCCAGGAAGATGAGTACCTACAACTTCTGGCAGCAAAAACCAGCAAGGATTGAGTCAGTGGAAGAAACTTCTCAAGTCCCAACCACTTCCTCCTAAACAGCTGACACGTGGACTTACTCAGACTCACTTCCTCTGAGCTCTAGCACCGGGGTAGCAGCTTGAAAGGCACTAGTGGCATACAGGAAGAAACAGAAGTGTCTGGCATCAAGATGAGAGCTGGGGGACAGCTCTCTCCCAGACAGAAAGGTGAGCAGAGGCCATTGCCCCTTTTCTGAACCCTCCTCCTAAAAATGCCACAGAGCCAGCAGGTGGGAGCCATGTCTGAGACTCCATCAACCAGTCTAATGCTGTTTGTCCCACCCTGGAGATTCCCTGAGGTTCCGTCCCACCCAACTTACAACTGTTAACAGTGGCTTTTCCATATGAATGGCTGGCCTTGGCTCCTGCTTCACAACTTCCTAAATGCTTTCAAATAAGCAACAGCCGTTCTTAGTGAGCTTCCAGCCCCCATACCTCTTGCTAAGTGGCCCCAGGCCCAGCACTAGCGGCAGCCAGGCTAGATTCACAGCTTGGCTTTGCCTGGGAATTTCGAACCTCAGCACACGTTAGCAGCCACCTCACATTGCTTTATAGCTCAGGCAGGGTGGCCCTAGGCAAAACACAGGTTGGGGGTTGACCTTGGTCTGCATCGCCCAAGAAACCCCAGTGCCTGTGCACCCAGTGGACAGCTACAGACCAGCTTTCAGCACCACCACGCCACCCCTGCACAGCTGGTCCTCCACAGAGGGCGGAGGTTGGTTAATGGTTACAGCCAATCCTTACAGCTGACTGACCTGGATAAATCCTTCCTATTGACCTGTGAACAGCAACCAAGGCTCAACTACAGGAGGAGGGTGCACTCTGCCCACACGAAAGGCACACCTCAAGTACCCAGCCTGGGTGGTAGAGGAGGCTGTGCCACCGGACCGTATAGGACACCTTCTACATTAGGCCACTCTTCCAAGACACAGAGTCGAAGCGGCTCTACCTTATACATAGAAACAAACACAGGGAGGCAGCTAAAATGAGACAGAGACACATGGCCCAAATGAAAAACAGATCAAAATTCCAGAAAAAGTAAATAATGTGGAAATAGGCAATCTATCAGATGGAGAGTTTTTGGTTATAAAGATGCTCAAGAAACTTAGTGAGGACCTCAGCAGCATAAAAATCCAGTCAGGAACAAAGAATACATTAAATGAAATAGAGAACAATTTGAAGAGAAACAACAGTACAGTGGATAAAGCTGAGAATTAAATAAATGATTTGGAACATAAGCAAAAAACAACTGCTCAGAACAATAAGAAGAAAAAAATCCAGAAACAACAAGGATAGTAGAAGCAGCTTCTGGAGCAACGTCAAATATTCCAACATTCGCATCATAGGGGTGCCAAAAGGAGAAGAAAAAGCAAGAAATTGGAAATCGATTTGAAAAAATAATGAAAGAAGACTTCCCTAATTTGGTGAAGCAAATAGATACACGAGTCCAGGAAGCACAGAGACTCCCAAACAAGATGGATGCAAAGAGGCCCCCTCCTAAGCACATCATCATTAAAATACCAAAAGGTTGAAGATAGAGAATCTTAAAAGCAGCAAGAGAAAAGCATTAGGTTGCCTACAGGGGAGTTCTCATAAGACTGTCAGCTGATTTCTCAAAAGAAACTTTGCAGGCTAGAGGGGATTGGCAAGAAATTGAAAAGCCAGGATCTGCAGCCAAGATTGCTCTGTCCAGTTAAGCTATCATTTAGGATTGAAGGGCAGATAAAGAGTTTTCTAGACAAAAAAAACTCAAGGAGTTCATTATCACCAAACCATTATATGAAATGTTAAAGAGACTTAATAAAAAGAAGATCAAAACTCTGAACAATAAAATGGCAATAAATATACATATCTCTCAACAGATGAATCTAAAAAACAAACTAAACAAGAACAGAGACAGAATCATGGCCATGGAGAGAGTTTTGAGGGTTGCCAAATGGGAGGCGGGTGTGGGGGATGCGTGAAGAGGCGAGCGGATTAAGTACAAACAGGTAGTTACAGAATAGCCGAGGGGAAGTAAAGTGCAGCACAGGAAGTGGAGCAGCCAAAGAACTTACATGCATGACCCATGGACGTGAACAATGGTGGGGGGATCACCTGAGGGAGTGGGGGGTGCTGGGTGGAGGGGGACAATGGGAGGGAAAATTGAGGCAATTTACAGCATAATCAAAATAGAATCTAAAAGTTCTTACAGAGGTTATATAACATGGGAAAGAGATATATTAGATGTAAAAAGCAGTATACAAAACTATACCGTATGATTATAATCATGTGTAAACAAACACTATGAAACATGAAAAAGATTAGAATGAAATAAAATATAAATGTCAGTTCTGTGTGGGGTAGTGGAATTATGGATACGGGTATTTTTTTCCTTTTTTTTTTTTTTTTTTGCCTATTTCGAATTTTGAAGATTCTTTAATATTTGTTTTCCTGCCTGCATGGCTGGCTCAAGTCTGAGTGCTGTTTCCTATTCAACATGATCTGTGAACTGGACTGAGAGCCTGGCCCAACGCCCTTGTAGCCTAAAATGCTCCTAGTCCCTTGACTTTTCGGTCCATTTAAAATTGACCTGTAGGTTCCTCAACTGGACCATAGATTCCCCTTTGATGTCCTTTTTTTTTTAAGCATGGAAATTAAACCTAACTCTTTACTGTCGTGCTGAGGTGGAGACGTCTTTGGTATATTGTTGCACCGCTGTGTGCACATGAGTAAAAGCTGAGAACCAAGAATTGTTGGTCGGCCAGCATGGCTCGTTCGGTCACTTCTCAGATTGCGTCGGGTGTGCGTGGCTGAGGCGAGGTGCAGGCTCCAGGGTGCTCCTCCCTCTCTGTGCTCAGGGGCTCAGCTCTCAGCAGAGCAGGACTGGAACCCTATTGGACGAAATGGGCTCCTTGCCACCCTAGCTCATGAGACCAATGTGTGCCAAAAAGCTCATTGAGAAATTAAGATAAGCTATATGGCTGCCAAGTAAGTGCTATTCGTGTTGGTCAGAAAGGACTTTTTTCCTCGGTAGGGAGACCTATTGGGAAATGAAAATAAAATCAGGTGCTTGCTCAGTGTGAACTGGACTCATGAGTAGGGGACGTCCAGCGGGGTGTATGTCGGTTGGTCAGTGCTAGAGGCGTGCATGCCGTGGGTTCCTCAGGCTGTCCTTTCAGTTCTTTGATTGGATATAGATGGAATTAACGTGAAATATAAGAACTCACAATGCTGTCACTATTTTTAAAAATCACAAGTGTGCTGACCTGTGTGGCTCAGGTGTGTGTTTGGGTGTTGTCCTATGAAGCGAAAGGTCGCCAGTTCAATTCCCAGTTGGGGCTCGTGCCTGGGTTGTGGGTTTGGTCCCCAGTCAGGACGCATGTGATAGGCAACCGATCAATGTTTCTCTCCCTCCCTTCCCCCCCCCAAAAAAAACTACATTAATTAAAAGTTTCATGTAAATTGTTTTTTTTAAAATTACAACAATATTGTCATCTCAAGATTTAGGATTAAGTGAGAGAAAGAATTCAAGAGTCTAGTATTACTCCCTCATAAAATAATCATCCATTACACCTGTTAAGTTATTTTAATGTGTTCATTCCTTAAATAAGTGTTTAGGGATCCCACGCTGTTGCAGGCACTGTGCTAGACCCTGGGAATGAGAGGACAAACAGATGCTCTTGTGACCATCCCGAGGCCCACAGTGCAGTGGAGAGGCAGTAAATAGCGGGGACAGCAGGGTTTAGGACAGTGTGACAGTTGAAAGGGAAAGGGGGCTCTGAGAGTGTTTGGCAGGGACCGTCCCTGTCTCTGGGGGTCCCTCCCAGCAGCCTGGTGTGCAGGCGGGGTAGGTGCTGTTTGCACTACCTCCCCAGAAGAATCCATAGTTGGGACTAGAGCCGTGGTCCCGTGGAGGCATCGCAGAGGGAGGCCAGGCGCCGGTCTTCTCTCTGCCCCCAGTGTCCCGCACCGCACCACGGCTGCGCCGGCCGCCTGTCAGTGGCGACTGTGTCGCTCTCACCCGTGTGGCAGTCGTCTCGAGCTATGTAATTAGTGATTAAAGGGAACTTGTTTTGTACAAAGTTTCACAGGTAGGAATATCCAAATCTACCACAAATCTGTCTGTTCTGTTTCCATTTCCGAATTTTATTTGAAAAATGAAACGCAGACGCCTCACGCAGGTATGTGTAGATCACGAGTCCCACGTGCTCAGTTCCCAGGCTGACCCTGCGCCGACGTCCTTTCCACCCTGGGCCGGGCGCTGCTGCGGCGCCGGAGCGGAGAACGCAGCGTGCCGGGCGGCCTGGCCTGCGGGGAGAGGTGGGTGGCAGGCGCGGAAGGCATCGTGTGTCAGGCTGCGCGTTCAAGTGCAGCTTGTCACTTAGGCACAGCATGCACCGTGCCACGCCGGCAGACACAACGGCCCTGCTGTCCGAAGGCAGAGCTCCTGCTGAGGACTTTGCTGGCACCCTGTGGCGATGATTTCCATCTCTGGGGAAGAGTTGCGGTCGGTAGGGCACAGAGCTGCAGCACAGGGTGGGGGGGGGCCCTGCTGGTTCCGGAGTCACATGTGTGGGTCCAAACCCTGACTTGCTGCTGCTCGGTTATGTGAAGCCTGACCTCAGTCAGTCCTGCTTCGGGGGCCTGTGAGGGCTCGGGAGGTGCTGGGTGTGACCGGTGCAGCTCCTCGGCAGGGCCTGCTTTTCCAAGATAGCGAGAGGCAGTCGGTACGGGCGCACGTCTGGTCCCTTTCCGACTCCCTGCGTAGACCTCGCCAGCTAGGTGACCTGGTGCCAGCAGTCACCTCAGGCGAAACGGATCGTACCTGGTAGAGCACTTGCCGCAGTGCCCGGCATGTCACGGAGTTCAGGAGGCACTGGTCACTCTTACTTGCATGTTTTAGAGCCAGTGCACTTCCTTTCACACAGGCCCTCTTCCTGGCTCTCCCGTGGGCGTGTCTGCCCCTCACTGCGCAGGTCGAGATACAGACTGTTCTAGGAATCGAGGACAGATAAGACTTGGAGGGATTCTAACAGCCACATTGTTACCACTAGGGTGTGTCACAAATTCATCTTTATTACATGAGTTATTAGGTACTTCAGCCATTCAGTGTTGTTTAGCAAACAGGACTGTAGCATTTCTATAGTGGGATACTCAGTGCCTGTTAAACTTTGAGACCAGTAGTTGTTGAAGACATTTCAGTGTCTGAGGAGGTTCCTTGTCGCTGATTTTAGATGTATATAAACAGCGCTGAAACAGCTGTAGAAAGGCTGCAACTACAGAGAGACTAAAGAAGCCTCTTAATTCATTAATCAGTATTTTCTCTACTTCAATGAATAGAATTATGGCTTTATATTTTCTGTATTCAGAGTTGCTTTGTAAAAGCATAGATTCATTATTTGAATATTAAAAACCACGTTAGGCTTCATTGTAAATGAATTTTAAATTTCTTGACTCAACCTGTACTTGGTATTTTGTAGGAGTCCACTGAACGAGGATGTTTTTGCTACCAGGATAAAAAAGACAGACAATAATGACAAAGACATAACAGAATTACAAGAACAAATTCACAAACTTCTGTTACAGGTAAGATGAGAAATTTTTTTTTAAAGATTTATTTATTTTTGGAGAAAGGAGAAGGGAGGGGAGAAAGAGAAGGAGAAAAACATCCACATGAGAGGGAAACATCGATTGGTTGCCTCTCTTAGGTGCCCCAACCAGGTGTAGGACCTGGCCTACAACTGAGGCATGTGTCGATGATCTTTCACTTTGCCAGACGATGGCCAACCAACTGAGCCACGCTGGTCAGGGATAAAATGAGAGATTTTAAAACACAAAATTTCCATGGGAGTGTCTTATTTTAGTATTCTGTCTTAGTAAAATCACTTCACAGACATAAACTGCAAAGAGGAATCGTTACCCTCTGCATTGCAAAAATTTTTGTCCTCCCTTTTTGTTTTTAAATTTTATTAACCTTTTTTCCTTTTTCTGTGTTAAATACACAGAACATTTTGTAATAACTCATTTTCAGACAGCAAAACTGAGTCCCAGTAAGCAGTGAGACAGAGAAGTTATTTCTGAATGAGGGCATTATTCTTGTGTTCTGAGGACGACCAGTGTGCTCAGCCTCTGGGTCTAGCTGTCAGTATTCTTTAGAATAATTCCAATTTTCAAGGCTGGGGAGGGGGCTGGCCGGTCTCAGTGTCTGGTTATTACCAGGCAAAAGTAGGAAAAACCTCTTACTGAAAACAAATACAGAAAATTATTTCTATTAGAGATTCAAGCAGTAAACTTGCAAGCAGGCACTGAAGGTGTCACAGCGTCTCGTGGAACCGCCGGGGCTCACGCAGTGCCTGTGGGGAGCTCCTGGGAAAACCATGGTGTTTATCTAACTTGTTCTGTCTGTTCTACACCTGCCTAAGGAATAAGTGTTTTTCCTATTTTGATAAATTATAATGTGGCTTTTGAAATTTTTTGTTCCAGCAACACCTGCTTAGACCAGAAAACCAGACTTTGCCCTCGAAAATTACGGAAGCGAGAGGGGAATGTTTTCCATGGCAGCGTCAGGGTTAGAAGTGTCAGCCGTCGCACACCTGATGTAGCATTTCAGAAATTCTAGTCTTCATTTTGTGATGGGCTTAAGTAACCTCCGAGGAGCTGGTGCTGTGTCTGCCCTCTAACCGCCTCATGCCCAGTAACCCCCGCATCGGGCCCTTGTCCTTGCAGCCAGTGCACGTGAGCGCGTCCAGCGGCTACGGCAGCCTGGGGAGCAGTGGGTCCCAGGAGCAGCACGTCAGCGTGACCTCCTCGAGTGAGTCCAGCGGGCCCGGCGTGGAGGACGCCCGGAAGGAGCCGGTGAGTGGGCAGACGTGGGCCGCTTTCCTCCTCTGTCTCGTCAGCTGGGTCGCAGTCCTGCCTCTGCAGCCTGTCGCCTGGCCTCCGTCCTGCTCTCAACTCAAGGCCCTGCCCGGTGGTAGGCGCTCTCACCCACTGGGTTGGGGAAACTGTAAAAGGAAAATGCTGTCTTTGGAAAGTGCTATTTGGGGTAATGGTGCACTTTCTAAATACTAGAATGTTGTGAAGAGATTTATTTATTTTATGGGGGTGACAATGGTTAATAATATTATATAGGTCTCGTGTGTGCAAGTGCATAATACCTCACCTGTATATTGTGTGTCTGCCACCAAGTCAAGTCTCCTTCTGCCACCGTTTACCCCCCTTTACCCCCTTCAGCCCCCCCACCGCCGTGCCCTTTGGTGGTCGTCATGCTGTCATCTGTATCTAGGTGGGGTTTTGTGTGGGGGGTGGGGGGTTTGGTTGGTCGGGTTGGTTTTGTGTTTGTGTGTGTGTGGTTTTTGTTTTTGTTTTTGCGTAATCTCTTCACCTTTGTCTCCCAGGCCACCCCCCCCCCGCACCGCAGTCTGACAGCTGTCAGTCTGTGAATGGATTTTTACTTAGTTTTGTTCCTATCGGTGTACTGTGGTGGGAAACCGAATTCAGGGTATTACTTTGCTTTTCGTCATCATGTGTGCAGAGAACTAGAAGTTAAATATATTTTGTTATGTACCTTTTAATGTTTACTTTTATTATATTTGAAACACATTTTATTCTTTTCCCTAAGTTGACTTTGCAGCAGGTCTATGCCAGTGTCAACAAAATTAAAAATCTGGGTCAGCAGCTGTACATTGAGTCAATGACCAAATCACCCAACAAGCAAGTGATGGGGGCGCACCCAGGACATCCCGGAGGTGAGTTGGCAGGGCCCCCAGACCCGGCGTGTATCCTGTGCTCGTCTGTACAGATGTAGAGCAGGCGCGTGTGAGCATGAGGCCGTGCCACTGTTCGGAGAGTTACGTGCCCAGGCAGCAATAGTGATGACAATAATGGCAGCGGCCAGCGCTGTTCTGAAAGCCCAGGGGCACTAGGATGTAGCTGCTTCCCCTGGCCACTGTGGCACGGTGGGTAGAGTGCCAGCCTGTGGCCCAGAATGTCACCAGTTCACTTCCCAGTCAGGGCACAGGCCTGGGCTGTGGGCCAGGTCCCCAGTAGGGGGGCGCACAACAGGAAACCAATCACTGTTTCCTTCACACATTGATGTTTCTCTCCCTCTCTTTCTCCCTCCCTTCCCCTCTCTAAAAATAAGTAAAAATCTTTTTTTAAAAAGACTAATGTATTTTTAATGTATATACTTTCATTCTCTTTTAGGTGAGCGGAAGGCCTTTTCCTCCTTACAGACATTGAAAAATAATAGCACAAACACTGAGTCTTGTGAGGATTTGAGAAAAGATCAGCATAGCCCATCCTATCAGCAAATAAACTGCATTGATAGTGTTATCAGGTATGAAACACAAGTTTTAATAACATGTTAGATTTTCCAAAAACATGCATTGTGACTCTGAAGCCTTTATATAATTTTAATAGCTGTTGTCTTGCTTTTTCACTATAAATCAATAGATATTTATGGAGTGCCTACTTACCACATCCAATTTATAATATACTCAGCATTTCGGGGGATGCAAACAAATTAGAAGATGCATTCCTTTTTTAAAGGAGCTACTGGATAGTTGAGAAGACAAGACCTGCACTTGTCAAATTCTGATGATGCAAGATTTGAGGTTCAGTTCAAGACCATGGGAAAAGAGAGGCGGCCACCCAGCAGTTCAGGCTGGGAGGTTGGGGAAGACGTACAGAGCCAGCATCGTCCTTGTTTCTCCTTCAGTTTTCAACCTTGGTCGTCTATAACCATGAGAAAGTGCCCCTGTGTGGCATAGCAGGGTACCCGAGAGATCCAACCGCCTGCACCTGCATGTGGGCGGGCCAGACTGCAGGAGTGACAGCGGGGCAGGTGGCAGCAGGCCCAGCAGTGGGCCCACACGACCTTCCTGGCCGGGGAGAGAGGGTGAGGACGAGGGTGGGGGTCTGCACAGCCGTGCGTCCTGCAGTCGGAGGGATCAGCTCCTCACTCTGAGGACAGGCCACAATGAGGGAAAGGAAGAGGAAGAGGAAGTAGGCAGGCAGAGATGACGGAAGGGAGATGTCTGCCGGGATTCTAGCAAGAGGACTGTCCCTGAACCCCTGTAACCCCCACCTCCAGGTGGAGGATCCTCTGTCAGGCCAGGGGCACACCTAAAGCACCTGTGCTGACTGCCCAGTTCTCCCACACTGCTCTGCACTTGGTTGTTCCTTCTGGCAGCTTTTTTAAACGTATGTGCTCCCAACCTTAGCACTGGTTAAGACAAACCAAAAACTTGTTACCATAGCTCCACTTTCCAGAAAGGAAAAAAGGAAGGCTCCTAATCACCAACCTGTTAAACTGTTAGAATCAAAGTGAACAAGTCCTTGCCTAAATAAGAAAGCTGTTTGCTACTTCCAGGGCAGCAACAGAGACACTTGTCATCAAACTCCGTAGGAATTCATGGCAAGGCAGGATCACCAAGAGAAGATAGCAATTTTCCAAAAGCTAGATCCAAAGTCATGGCATATTACCGTCTAACTGATAAAAGTGCAAACTAGCTATATGAAGAAATTTAGCAAGCTTCAAGAAAACTCAGGAAAGCAATACAACGATCTCAGGAATGAAGCTAACGAATAAGAAGTACTTTAACAAAAAGGTTAAAATTGTAAAACACCAAATCTTAGAACTAAAGAACTCAATAAATTAGATAAAGAATGCATTGGAGCCCTGGCTGGTATAGCTCAGTGAAGATTGAGCACTGGCCTGCGAACCAAGTGGTCATGGGTTTGATTCCCAGTCAGGACATATGCCTGGGTTGTAGGCCAGGTCCCTGGTTAGGGGTGTTTCAGAGGCAGTTGATCCACATGTCTCTCACACATTGATGTTTTTCTCCCTCTCTCTTGCCCTTCCCCTCTCTCTAAAAATAAGTCTTTTAAAAAAAAAAGTGCATCAGACATACAACAGGTCAAATGGAAGAAAAAAATTAATGAGGTGGAAGATAGGAATCTAGAAATGATTATGTTTGAGGAAGAAAGAGAACTCAGATTTTTGAAAAGTGAATAAACCCTAAAAGGGCTACTAGATACCATTCAAAAAGCCAACATAAGAATAATGGATACTCCAGAAAGAGGAGCATTCAGCACTAGGTTGATACCAAAACCAGGTAAGCGTACCACAGTGAAAGAAAAGTAGACCAATGTCCCTGATGAATCTAGATACAGAAATCCTCAGTAAAATATTAGCAAATTAAATAACACATTAAAAAGATTATACTCCATGACCAAGTGGAATTTATCCCTGGAATGCAAAGATTTATGGTCAGAATGTAGAAAAAGGATTTGAAAAAAATTCAACATCCTTTTAAGATTTTAAAAAAACCACCTCTACATATTGGATATAGAAGGAACACAGCTTAACATAATAAAGGCCATATACAACAAACCCACAGCTAGCATTATATTCAGTGGAGAAATAGTGTTTTTTTCTAAGATCAGTAACAAGGATGCCCACCCTCACCACTCCTGTTCAATATAATATTGAAAACCCAAATAAAAGGCATCCAGACAGGAAAGCAAGAAGTAAAATTGATATGGGAAATCCCAAAGGGTCAGTCAAAAAACTGTTGGAATTAATCAGTGGTTTCAGTAAAGTGACAGGATACAAAATCAACAGAAATCAGTTGCATTCCCTTAGACTAATGACAAAGCATCTGAAAAAGAAGAAAACCATCTCATTCACAGTAGCATGAAAAGAATAAAATTCATGGGAATAAATTTAAAGAAATGAAATATCTATACAGTGGGAACTACAAGACTTTGCTGAAAGAAATTGAAGAACACAAGCAAATGTAGACATCCCATGTTCATGGATAGGAAGAATTAATTTTGCTAAAATAGCCATATTACCCAAAGCTATCTACAGATTCTGTGCAGTCCCCATCAAAACACCAAAGACATTCTTTCCAGAAGTGGAAGAAACAATTGTAAAATTTGTGTGGAATCACGAAAGACCCTGAAGACATCCTGAGAAAAAAAAGGACAAGTCCAGAGGTGTCACACTCCCATATTTCAAAGTACACTACAAAGTTATAGTAGTAAAAAGCATTGTGATGCAGGCACACAAATAGACATGAATGTCATGTGTAGATAATAGACCTAGATACAGCTATAGGTGTAGATATATTCAACTGAACTTGACAAGGGAGCCAAGAATACCCAGTAGGAAAAGGATAGTTTCTTTAACATATACTGCTGGGAAAATTAGAGAAACACATGTAAAACAATGAAATTGAAGTCTGTCCAATACTGCTCAGAAAAATTAACTGAAAGATCAAAAACTAAAACATAAGACCTGATAACTATAAAACACCTGGAAGAAAACATGTGGAAGAAGCTCACTGATACTGTTCTTGGCAGTGATTTTTTTTTTGTGCTGAAAGGACAAACAACAGCAAAAGTCAGGAAGCAGAACTGTGTCTAACTCAAAAGCTTCTTGCACAGCAAAAGAAACAGCAAAATTAAAAAACAACTTACACAATGGGAGAAGATTTTTGTAAACCTATAGCAGATAGGGGGTTAATATACAAAAAAATTCTAAGGAATCAACAACAATATCAAAACCAATCCGAGTTTTAAATGGGCAGAAGAACTAAATAGATACTTTTCCAAAGAGGACATCAGAATGGCCAGCCAACTCTTGAAATGATGTTCGACATCACTCATCATGGAAATATAAGTCAAAACCACAATAGTGGGCTCTTACCTCGCACTCTTCAGAGTGGGTATCATCAAGAAGACGGGAGGATGGGTACTGGTGAGGGTGTGAAAGAGGAGCCCTTGGACATTGTTGGTGGAAATGTGAATTAGTCCAACCACTGTGGAAAACAGTATGGAGGCCATCAAAAATGAAGAAGAAATCTACCATACACTTCAGCGATTCAGCTTCTGGGTATACACCCAAAGGAAACGGAAACAGGGTGTTGACACAATATGTGCACTCCCATGTTTATCACAGCATTATTCATGATAGCCAAGTTCTGGAAGCAGCCCCGATGTGCATCAACAGATGGATTTAAAAAAATGTGGTATATACACAATGGAATATTATTCAGCCATGAGAAAGGAAGACATCCTCCCACTTGGAACAACGTGGTTGGACCTTCAGCACAGTATGTTAAGCAAGATAAGTCAAACAGAAAGTCTAGTACTTGGGATAGCACTTCTATGTGGAATCTAAAAAAATTAAACCTGTAAAAAACAGTAAAATAAGAATTAGCAGGGATTGGGCATGCAGGTAAGTGTGATGGTGTTTAAGGGTGTGAACTTAGAATGAGCGGTAAATAAACCATAGAGATGCAGGGCACTGTATAATGAATGCACACAGTAACACTGTGCTATATTGTGTGAGGTGATAAGAAGCTACATCCGCAGTCATGTTACAATATAGGAATATGCCAAAGTAACATGCTGTACACCTTAAACATATACAGTGTTACATGTCAAATGTCTTCACTTTATTTAATAAAAGGAAGTACGGTGTATCCCAAACAGAAGGGATGCTAAAAAAGCAAAGAGGGAGATGGCCAAGTTGGGGCCAGGTAAGACTGCCTGACCCCGGCCTGCTCTTGCAGGTACCTGAAGAGCTACAACATTCCGGCTTTGAAAAGAAAGTGCATATCCTGCACGAACACCACCTCGTCCTCCGAGGAGGACAGGCAGCACCACAGGGCCGACGACGTCCCAGCTGTGCAAGGTAACGGGCGCTTTTCGCTAGTAGACGAGAGGAATCAGTACAAAACCGCCCCTGTCTCTCTGCTTCTCTCTTATTTTGTGGTATTGATCCTTTCATTGTGATCACAAATGATCCTAGTTTCAGAGCCCTCTTTATGGCCCATAGCTTACTATTTGTCAGTTTAAGTGTCTCTAAGCTGTTTGATCTTTAACATAAATTTCCTGTTGGGATTTCTCTTCACTGTCAGTTTTTCTCCCACCCCCAGCTGTTCCTCAGATTGCAGCCACAGCTAAGTCGGAAATGCCAGCTAACGGACGGTCCTCCGACACCGAAGCGGGGGCGCCCCGGAGCCTGTCCACGGCGGCGCTGAGCCTGGGCTCTGGCATCAGCCAGTGCAGTTACAGCAGCACCATGGTGCACGTGCCGCCGCCAGAGCCAGGTACTGCGCCAACCTTGGACTTCACACCCACTGTGCCCTAGACACGCCCCCATGAGGAGACGAGTTATTTACATGTTTGATGAGCCGTAACTTCTAAATTACAAATACTTTTTCTTCAAGTATTTGGGGAAGTGTCATGTTATATTGGTCACATATATACATATGTTTTAGAATGTATTTCTTATGTTGTTAGCCAGTCACATCAGCTGACACATGCGAAGCCCCTAGAACGCTGACTGCAGCAGCAGGCCTTCAGCCAGCGCTGGCCGTGCTGATGCGGGCAGGTCACCCTGTGGCCGACCTTGAAAGAAGGTGTCTGTTTCAGACTTCGTAGTTGGGCCTCAATATGTCATATAGCTATAGCTGTCTGTCCATCTACATATTACATACACATACATACGTACACACATGCGCTTCTAGAAGTTTTTCTGTTGGTCTGATCACTCTGTTCATTTAACAGTATAATGGCTTGGTAAATGTCTCTGATACCTTCTTTTTATTCCTTTTAACTGCCTCCTATTGTTTTGACTTACTCATTACTCATCACAGTTTGATGGATGAAGAAAAAATAATAACAGATGTGCTATATCAGGTTCTTAGACTAGCTCTACATTGCCTTTGCTTGCGCCCTATGGTCTGCCCGAAAGCACGTGCCGAGCTGTTACCCTGGGCCAGTCCCTGTCCTCAGTCCTTCCCAGGCACTGCCCCCCTTCCACCCGCACAGCCGCCCTTTGAGGGGCGGGTGTCGTATTGCCTGGGGCTGTGGGTTGGTGGGAAAAGGCCAGAGACAAGCTGTTGTGAGATTAGATTATGTTTCTAATGAGCCAAAGGTAGCTTGTTGATTTTTGAACCACATAAATATATTACAGATTAAAAAATAAACTCGGATAAAAAGAAATACTTTGAAAAGTTCAGGGAGGTAGAAAATATTTACCATAAAAGCAAGATTGAAATAAATATGTAAGTCTTTGGGTATTACAAGTCTGTGAAGTGAATATACAGGTGCACAAAGAATATAAAGACAGGCAGAAAAGTGGAAAGAATGCATGATGTGCTAGGTTGGTGAAGTTTTGTATTGTAGCTGTTGTGATAATGTTCATAAAACTTACTGAAAGGTTAAGTTGGTGAAACTAAAGAAATGCAAATAGTGGTTAGCAGTTAAAATTGAATCCTCCTCCTTCCACCTCAGCAGAATCGGCTCCCGCCGAGGATACCACCCCCGCCGGTGAGCCTGGGATGCCCCCCACACAGGCGGCCCCGCTGACCGCGGAAGACTTCAGACGCGTGGGGCTCACGGCGGCTGTCCTGTCGGCCCACACGCAGAAGGAGGAACAGAACTATGTGGACAAATTCCGGGAAAAGATCCTTTCATCCGCCTACAGCTCCTACCTTCAGCAAGAAGGCAGAAGCAAAGCAAAAGACTCCTGTGTCCAAGGTAGTTAAGTTTTAAAAAATGTGCTCCATTGCGGTACATAGCCGCCCAGCCTGTAAGTCTCCTGTCAGTGCCGGGCGGTGAGGCGAGGTGAACCCTGGGAGGACCTGACCGCGGGGTGCTGACGTGGGTTTATTTTTTAGCATCGCTTGTACCCGGATTTGGCTCATCCTCTCAGAGCTGCTCCTCGCTGTCCCTGAGCGGTGTTGTAACCTCCCCGGGACGCGCCCGCACATGGCAGCCTCCCCTGCTCCGCAGTTAGGTCTCCACCATGTGCCTCCTCTCTGTCCTCTCAGGGGACGCGACCTCCAGGCAGACCCGGCCAGCTGGTTGCAAGAAGGGGAGGCACAGGCGTAAGAAGCTGCGCGAGCCCCTCGATGGCCAGTGTGCTAAGGACGCCTTCTGTCCCCATGTCGGAGCCGACCTCCAGAACCTGCCGCCCTGGTGCTCGGCCCCCGCCTCCGCCCTCCACGCCCCCGGCCTGTCGCTCCCGGCTGCGGTTACGGCCGCGGCCCCCAGCCAAGCCCCGTACTTTGTCCCAGCGTTCCCCCTGCCCAGCGTGACCTCGCTGGGGGGAGAGCACGCGGCCTCGGTGGCGGCACTGGACTGTCCGCCCAGGCCGCCTTTCCTCACTGTCCCTCTGCCTTATGTGACCATTTTCCTGCCTGACCCCCCTGTCTGTCATCTGCTGGCACCAGCGTTCTCTCCATATCCGTTCCTGGGAGCTTCAGGCCCTTCTCAAACGCCGCCCTCAGTGGCAGCAGGGCCTCCACCTGTGGTGGCCCCATCTCTGGTCACCGGCCAGAGGAGGGCGGAGGAGCCCTGGGACACCCAGAGCGACGAGCCCCCGGCCCCCAGCTCGAGGGGCAGCTCGCCGCTGCAGCTGGACTTGCTGCAGGAAGAGCTGCCCAGGTCCTGCGCATCGGTAGAGCAGGTGAGACGGAGAGGCGGCAGGCGCGGAGGAGGGGAGGGACTGGCTTTCAGCGCACAACCGAGGAAACTACTGAAATCGAGGTTGTCGCCCGGGCTCTGCGCAGGCGGCTGAGGGAGAGTCCACTTGGCCTCTGTGGTTCCCGGGAGCGGGCCCGGGGCCCTCCTGGCTTCGTTTTAAAGGCGGGCAGGGAGAACCTGCTGTGTCCCGGTCTCTTAGGTGCCGTGTGTGGTCTTCCCAGGGCGCTTTCACATTTTCTGTATGAACTAAGTTTTATCCCCCTTTAAAATTTGCTATCCAAGCATTAAACCTAACATGTTCATTGTCTATAAAATGTATTTTCTTACCTCAACTGAGGATATGGTCCAGTAAGACAGGAATAAGCCATACCTACAGGACACGAAGTTAGCGACTGCACTTTCAGGAGCCTAGGAGTTTCAGGAGCTGTAGGGCAGTGACTGCGGAGAGGGTAGGACATTGTCAGTTTATTACTCGTCAGTAAAGTAGGCAGTTTATAGATTCATGCTTATACGTGTCATTTTCAAAAATCAAGGATTTTTTGGTCAGTTTTCTTTAACATTTCATCTCACTACCTACAAAAGCATTCTCAGATTACCAGGTTGAATTTTGAAGTAGGATCCCAGATGAGTGTGAATATTTACACAAAATTTTCTGTCTTCCCTTCGAAGTATAGAACATTTTCTTAAAAAATATATCCAAATCAAGAAAACTTGATGATCCAAATCAAGAAAATGGGCTGGATTTGAAAGCCTGACATCAGCGCACTTGCTGGAAACCTGCGGCCGGCAGGACCGCCCGGGGAGCAGGCCGTGGGCTGAGGGAGAGACGCAGCTCAGGCCCCAGCCCTGTCGCTGGGGAGCCCGCGGGTTAGGGTAGGCCAGCTGCTGCACCGTTTTTGCCTTTGTTTCCTTATTTACTAAACGGAAAGATGAGTACTTCATAGCCTATTCAGAGGATTAGATGACCTGATGTTTGCGGAGTGCATCCTCCCCCGCCCCCAACCAGGCAATGTGAGTTTGAGGATACCAGGGCCTCTGTTTTGTTTGCTGTTACAGTCCTAGCATTTGGGACACTGCTTAGAACATCAGTATGTCTGTCCTAAATGACCAAAAAAAAAAAAATTTAATGCACACAGCCGCATGGTCTGTAGCTCATGGTAGGTGCTCAAAAAAAGTCTTGAATATTATATGCAGAGGAACTTGGGCCACATTCTCAAACACAGGCTGACACTGTTTAGCATCTCCATTTTGCTTGGTGTTTTATTCTGTGCAATGTGTGACGTAGAAGCTCTCCCAGTTCTGGTGTATGTTACAAATTTTTCCTCGTGTTCTCGCTTCTAGCAGTGCGTTACAGACCGCAGCGGGAAGAGCCACCATCTTGCTGCTGGCGACCTGCCCCTTCCCGAGGAGTCTCCATCTGGACCTGGCTCTGCAGCATCAGGTAGGGGTCCAAGTGGCGCCTTCCCAGGTCCCGCTGTGGGGGGGTCGCTGTGAGGACGGGCTGGTGGGTTTCTGCGCAGGTGTCTTTACCTCTGTAAGCTTTGTTTATTCATTTATTGGGGTGTTTTTGTGTACTTACAGCAAGATACACCACACTTAGGTGTATAAAACAGGAATTCTGAGAAACACATACGCTAGGGTCCCCACCACCTGAGTCACCAGATGGAGCGCCTCCCTCCCCGGGGACGTTCTCCTGGGACCATGCGGCCAGCCTCCTGCCCCAGCCCCCTGGCCTCGGCCTCCACCCACCCATTCCGTCCCTGGAGCATTGGCTTTTCTGCAGTGCACGCCGAGTGAGCTGCCCCGCGCGGCCTTTTCTGTCGGAACTCTCCGTGCACCTAGTGCCACGGAGCTGCGTCCGACCGCCCATCGGGGGGTCTTCTCCTTTTCGCCGCGGAGCGGAATGACACCGCACCACTGGCGTTCACCGGATGACGGGCGTTGGGTTTCCGGTCTGGTCTCTCAGTGCTGCGATGAACACTGTAGTCTCAGTCGTTCTGTGGATGTAGGTTTTCTTTTCTCTTGGGTAAACACCTCAGAAAAACTGCTAGGTCATGTGTATGGTTAACTTTATAAGAAACTGCCAAACTGTTTTCCGAAGTGGCCACACATCCCAGCTGTCGTTTAAGTTCAGCCATTCTTGGGGGGCAGGGAGGGGGCAGCACGTGTGGTGACACCTCATGGTTCCATTTGCACTTGCCCGTTGACCAGTGGTGTTCAGTATCTTTTAATGTACTTGTCGTCGTACGTATTCAAGTCCTTTGCCCGTTTGGGGGGTTAGTTTCCTATTGAGCAATAAGAGTTCTGTGTACATTCTGGATACAAGTCCTCTATCAGATAACGTTTTGCAAAAATTCCCTCCCTGTGTGTGGCTTTCCTTTCGTTTTATTATCTTTTATTTTTAGCTTCATTATGAAGGGCAAAATATTTTTTAACACTAATGAAGTTCAGTGGATCAGTTTCTTCTTTTCTGGGTTGTGCTGTGTGTCCTCTCACAGGGTGGTCTCTGTGTTATCAGTAGCGTCACAGGGTCAGCTTTTAGAATTAGGTCTGGGATCCATTTTCAGTTAATTTTTGCAGACAGTGTGAGGGAAGTGTCGCTGTGCTTTCCTCACATACGGGTAACCAGTTGTCCCTGCCCAACATGTCGAACAGGTTACTCTCTCCCCCACCGACTTACGTGGTGCCTTCCCCGAAAACAGCTCACTCGTGTGTGTCTGGGTCCGTGTCTGGGCCCCTGGCTCTGTTGGTCCGTAGGGCCAGTTTTAGGAGATCCCATGCTCTTCTGATGTAGTTTTCAGGTCATTCTTCAATGCTGGGGGGTTAAGTCCTCCAACTTTACTCTTCTTTCGAAATAATTTTGGATATTGTAAGCCTTTCATCCATATAAATTGTAGAATCAGGTTTTTAGTTTCTACCAAAAAAAACCAAACCCCAACCCTGCTGGATTTTGATTAACATTGTGTTGACTCTCTAGGACAGTTTCGGAAGCATTGTCACCCTGACAGTGTTGAGTCCAGTCCATGAGCAGATAGGTTTCTCGTTTATGTAGGTCTTCAGTTTTTCTCAGCAGTGTTTGCCGTTTTCTGCACCCAGGCCTCACACATACACACACGCTTTACTAAAACCATCCCTGAAGGTGCCACATACTCGGTGTGGTAGTGGATGACGGAGACCCGTGGCAGGGCTCCCGGGCTTCCGGGCGCCCCTTCTGGGGACGAGGGGTTTGCGGCGGAGCGAGGCGCCCTGCTCTGTGCACCGCCCCCTGTGCCTGTGGCCTCGTGCATTTGGATGAGCACGGAGTCGATCGCAGGCTTTATCAGGGTTGACGCTGATGGTAATGGAAAGTCAGGGACAAAGGATTCCCAGGCTTTGCAGAGAGTGTTACTGGTGGGCTCTGGGCTGCAAGCTGAGCAGCGAAGGCGCCGCTCCAGGGCCGAGGACGTACAAGTGAGCAAGCAAGTGGGCAGGTGCAGCTGCGACGTTGGTGAGGAGGTGCCGGAGCTGAGATGCGGCCATGCTGGGCAGAGCGGCCGTGCGAGGGCGTGGCCCGGGGACTGGGAAGAGGCCTGGGGACGGTCCAGGGGCCACAGGCGGGGGTTCCCAGGCTGACCGGGCACTGGGAAGTGACAAGATCAGGTTATGGCTGCGGCCCCTGAAGAACGAGGGCCAGCCTGGCAAACCCGCCCCTGACAGGGACTTTCTGATTTGTCATTGTGTTGGTTCCTGACAGGAACCAGTGAGAGCAGCACAGGTTTTGCTGATAGCGACTGTTCGTCTGGAATCTCCCAGGATGGGCAGCAGTCCCTGGACACAGGGCAGGAAGGGGCCGCTCCCTGTGCCGCGGGCGAGTCCATCTGGAAGATGATAAAGGAGACCCCCGAGCGCGTTCTCATGACCTACCAGATGCCCGAGAGGTGAGGCGGTGCCTTCGGAGGCCCTCTTTTGTAGGAGTTTCTCAGGGGTTCCTTAGTGTGTTTTTTAACGCAAAGTGATTTTTTACTGTTTTTATACGTCTCCTTAGGGAAGTGTATTTTCACATTCATTCCTTTGAAGTCAAATAACGAGTCATTTCTTAAAGAGGTGGCCAGGGTGGGAGGGCCCCACGTGTGTGGGCCCAGCTCAGCAAACACGCTGCCATCGCTAGACGAGAGGACACAGAGAAGGGCAGTGCCTTCCCGGGCGGCACCTGAGTGCAGGGCTTCTCCTCGCAGGCCCGGGTCTCCTTCCGCTCCAGGAGGAGGAGAGCGAGGGCAGCCTGTCCCTGCCACACCCCCGCAGGGCGCTGCGCGGGCGCGCTCCCCAGGAGCGAGAGCCCCGCTCCCGCAGCCGCACAGAGAGGCGATGCGAGTGTCTTTAATGTGAACCTCACGTAGTAACAAGAGACGCCAAGTGTGTTCCCAGCCAAGAAGCACAGCCGCCCTTAGGTGGGCCTTATTCGGGACTGTTAAAGTCTTGTGTGTGCGTCTGGTTTCAGGGTCACAGAAATTGTCCTGAAAGAAGACCTGGAAAAGCTGCAGAGCATGAGGCGGCGGCAGCCGCAGTTCTCCGCCGGGCAGAGGGAGGAGCTGGCCCGGGTGCACCCCTGGATCCAGAGCCAGACTCTCCCTCAGGAAATGGACGTCCAGGTAAGCACGGGCGGCGGCCGCCATGGGTTGGGGCTCCTGGGCCGGCTGGCGTCCCGGGCCCTGAACGGGCACTGCCTGGTCCCGCTGGGGACTGTAGTCCTCGCAGCTGCTTCTGGGGCTGCCTGCCCTGCTTGACCGGCAGACCGCAGGCGAGGACTACAGATAGTGAGTAAGTGGTATGAGGTTGCACGGGGCATCGGGTTTTCAGTGCAGGTTTTTTTCACTGTAAGCGTTTTTTGATTCTACTGCCTGGAATATTCCGGGCCAGTAAGGAGTAAAGACGGCTGCTCTGATACGCGGTTAACGGGGGCGGGAGGTGCCGGACGTTTTCATTTCACATGTGCACACGTGACTGAAAGGAATTCAAACTCAAGACATAAGATTCACGCCAGGGCAGTGTCCGTACGTAGCAGGAGTTTTCAGGGCACCCGGGGGCCCCTCCACTCTTACGAGGTCTCACAGCGAGCCCAGACACGGACAGCCCGATCAGGGACGGCCTCCCAGACCGGGGGTCGCAGGGGCTGGTTCTGGAGGGACGGTTGTGCCGGCGGTGGGAGGCGAGGAGCGGAGTTAAAGATCACAACAAGCGAATAAAATGGCAGGTGTCCCAAGGAGAGGCATGTAAGGCTTACGGCTTTGGAGTCCTCCCCACCTCTGTTTTAGGGATGGGAATGCATGCCTGTCGCTGCAGGGTGACTGGGTGTGGTCTCACCAAAATGCAGGAGCTGGGCTTGTTACTCTGAGCATCTCTGTTTTTTAAATACTGTTTTTCTGGTACTTGAGTAGAAGGGTATAGGCAGAATGCACCCCCAAAACAACGTAAGCAAAAGCTTTTAAACAGGTGGGGTCATTTACCCTCTAAGAATAAGGGATGGGGCATAACGTGTATCCTTAGACAGGAATGGGCAGGGGAATAGTCGTAGGTTGGTAGGCCAGAGTTTTACTGATTCTGGACCTCCTCCGGTGACATTGCCTCAAATAACCTGCCTGCTTTTGTTCTTTCTCGGAGGGCTGTGTGACTTGCAAAAGCGCAGATTCGGTCAGTGGTGCCCTAGGACCCTGTGGTGAGGACCCAGCAGAGGACAGCAGTTGAGTGGCTGCGGAGGTGCCGGCGGCGCGCCCTGCGCAGGACCCGCTGGGCACTGGGCCTCTCTGTCCACCCCCGACCCTTAAATGGCCGTGAACTTACCGTTGAATGTTAAGGATTTTCCTTCTTGACTTTTTGATAGACGTCATGTTTCCGAAGCAGACTTTGTACATAGAGCCTTTTCCGCCTCCCTGCTCCGGATGTATTAAAACTGTCAGTAGCCTTCTTTTCTAGTTTAGCTGCCTTCTAAAGAGACTCGATGGCCTTGATGAAGGTATGTGCATAGCAACACTTTCAGGTGTCACCCAAAATAAACTCCAATGAGAAAAATAGCTGGAAGAGCCCCAGCCAAACCTCAGCCTCACTAACTTTGCACTACTGTTACATCGGTCGCTCCCTGTCAGAGTACGGGAGGACGTCCCACCTGCGGGCCGTACACTTTTCTCCATGGTCCCCGTAAACTTGTGCCCCGCCTGCACAGGCGACGCGTCCCCTCCGTAATCAGCCGCGAACGCCCCGGCTTTCTCACCACGCACGCCGCCCGGCATTCACCGGTGCTGAGCGGGCTGCCCCGGGGCGCCCGGCTCTGACGGGCCTCTCGGCCCTCACTCCTGCTGGCGCCTCCCCTCGGCTTCCCGCCTTCCACGGAACTCAGAGTCTCGTCTTAAAAATCGGTCCACTGACAAGGAGCTTACTCCTCGGGGAGCTGGAGTTAGCTTTTGCATGTGTCATTTTAAAACAAAAGCACTTCTAACTCACCCAGTGGTGGTTCCCTTTCTAATGTTTTCATTTTTTAAATGATGATTGTAAAAAGGTTAGTAAAAATTAATACTGGTTTTATATGCATCTGTGTTTAAATGTGGTTAAACCAAAACTAACCGTTAACTCTTTCTTTTCAACCAATGTACACCAAAAAAGGTCTCCACCCCTCTCTGCCCGAGGTCTGATTGGCACTGCCTTTTGTTTGCCCTTAAGCGGGTAAGTGTCCAGAAGGGGCTGTGCAGTGAGAAGGGGTCTGCGGGAGCTCGGGAGTCTGGGGACGGCGGGCAGGCGGACGGGGACGCGGAACCCCCCAAGTCCGAGCTCTCTGCACGGCTGTCCTTGTGTCCTTCGAGAACTGGCGGGGTTGTTTCCTGATCAGTTAGTCCCTGCTCTTTAGAGAAGGCGGGCGTCCTTCTCTGGCTTGGAATGATGTGTGCAGGCCGCGCCCAAGCAGCCAAGAAAAAAGAAGATAGAGGTCACAGTGAACTTTTACCTTTACCAACTAACTTATTGTTCTGTTTTGTTGTTGTGTTTTGTTTTAGGAAAATACTTCTTCCTTTCAAGTTTTATAGCTTTTTATAAAAATGCTCCCTGAGAATGACTAGGAGAAGCGGCCTTTCTCTCCGTGGTGACTGCTGTGCCGCTTCTCAGTCCCCGTAGCTTAGATTTGCTTTTGAAAGTAGTCGCTTCCTGGAAGGTTATTCTGTCTTAAGGTGTCAGAACCTTTTTCAGATACTGCCTATGACATTTCTTGGTATTTTTTAATCTTAAGCAAATATTCCTATTTTATGAATAGAGAACTCTTACATTCTACTCCATCTTGATTGTTCACTGGTTTCTGAAGCCCTCGTTTTGTGTGGTATTTTTTTATTTTTGCCCTTAGTAGGAAATAATCAAGTTTTTAAAAATCATCCTGGGTATTGTCCATCAACAGAACCATCTGTGACCTTCTGTGGTGATAAAATTTTTAATTCCGTAAATCAAAAACAACAAATAGTTACCAGAGGATCATCCTGCATTTGTGTGTGTGTGTGTTAAACCTTATGTCCTCTAATGACACATGCCCTTCTCTTCCACTCTTTCTGGATACTCATTCTATCCCAATGTGCTTGCTTCTTTGCCTTAGCACACATTTTACGGCATGTCCACACACTAGGCTTCATTTGAAACTGGTGCTCGCCATAGGCAGGTCCTCAAACCACTTGGTGTTCCCTGACTTTGGCAAGTAGACAAGCTGGTGTATTTAGAGGCTGGACTGCGATGTCCTACTGCTGAGGGTGAGGGAGGAGGTTCAGCAGTGACGCTGCCGCCCCCCACGGGGGCTTCACCCAACTGCACATTTTGCTGTTTGGGTTTATTTACTTTTTGTATTCATTACTATAGAAATTGATAATAAAAATGTGTATTATAGGCTTCAACGTTTACATAAATGTTGCCCGAAAGGCTGTGTTTTCTTGGATAAGAGGTCAGGATTTATGAAAAACAGAATGTTATGTGAATGGAATCATTTTGCAATTAAATGAAATTTCACTATGATTCACAGGGTAAATTTAATCCAAATGAAATTTTGTTTCAAGTGAATTTATAACTAGCTGTGTCAATCCGCTTGTTTTTAATGGTTATTCATACTTGAATTGGATATCTTTCTTGAATTGGATACAATGAATAAACCATGTACATGTAAAACTTGAGACATTTCCTCGCACTGTGTCAGCGCGCCTTTGCACAGAATGTGTGTTCGATGTCATCTGGGAACCTGGCCCGAGGGGCTGAGCGGTGCCCAGGCTGACACTGGTTTGCTCGGCCGCGCTTCGAGCTGGCATCGCCAGGCGTGTCTGAGCTCCCGCGTGGGCCACGTGGTGTTTCCAGAATCATCATCGCTGAATCCTCACCTCAATGCTGAAGAACTGAGTAGGTCCTGAGTACATGTGCATGTTTTTAATATTAACATTAATGCTGAATTTATAAATCAGTTATCAAAATTATTATTCAAGGTTATACAGTGAACCTGTATTATGCAAAGTTGGTGTCACTGGGTAGCAACAAAATCTCAGAATGTGAAACAAGATCCTGAAACCAACAGGAATTTTTAAGGAATACGCCTTACTAGTCATCTGCACCTTTCTGGAACAAAACAACCACGGTATGTAGGACAACAGCTCAGGGCGTGTGGAAGGTGCGCCCCTCTGAGCACAGGAGCTGTCCAGGTGCTTCCCAGGAATTGTGTCTCATGATACAGGCCCCCAGGAAGCTGGGTTCTCATCCTCATTTTAAGGAGGACACCTTAAAATGACGGTGAGACGGCATCAGAGAACTTGGGCAAGGGCCTTCCGGCCGAGGGTGTAGGGAGCAGGGGTTGGAGCCAGGCCATGGGACTCCAGAGCCCCATCTGTCAGAAAAATAACCTAATGCTGCTAAAACAAGGGAGAGGTCGTAGGATTGTGTGCAGTGGAACTCCACCTTCCACTCTTTCTGTTATCATCAGTACAAAGTAGTTTCGTGGTTCAAAGGTTCAGTTTCACCAGGGAGAGAGACCACATAATGTGAGTGTGTTCCTGAGGTGATGCATCCGTTCTCTGGGTTTAAAGCACCTTTTTCTGTAGGTTCTTGATATCTTCAGTAAGTGAAGATTTATCAAACCTGTGCTCTGTAAGAGAGTTCTGTTGTTGGTTGACCAGCTCCGTGCCCGTTGTGTGTGGCAGTTTGGTGTGAACCTGACCCTTGATCCCTCTGTGGTGAGTGGCAGAGCGCGGTGGGAGTGCTTCTGTTTCGGTCCAGTTCTGTGCTGGAAGCGACTTGGGGCTCTTGGGAGTTCACACTGTATATTCTGTACATACAGGGGAGGGCAAAAGTAGGTTTAAAGTGTATAGAAAAAGATAAGAATGAAATAAATAGTACAATAGCATATAGTAAAACGAGTAAACTTTTGTGTACTCACCACTGTAAACCTGCTTTTGCCCAGCCCTGTGTATCAGCTAGAGATGTATGAACAGAATGTACGGCAGGGCAGACACACCAGGCTGTTTCCTCCGTTGCACGGCCTTAAATCCCACCTCAGCTTCCTGTTCCCTAAGAATCAGATTGTGAAGGAGCTTTTCCGGTAGAAGTGAACTCTGATCCTTGGGCTCACAGGAGCGGAGATCAAACAAGGTTTGGCGTTCAGAGACTCGCGTTCCCACATGTTCAGCACTCGGGTTAGCGAAAGGAGGGGGGTTGGAGCCCGGGAACTGCCCCCCATCAGACAGTCGGGAGTATTCAGCCTGTCCCCAGCCCTCTAGCTGCCTTCACTGGAGTGATTTTTCCAGGTTCTTGTACTGGGTTTTTTTATGGTAATAACTTAGATTGTCATTTTTAAGGGCTAAGATCATGTAGCTTATTTAAATGATTTGCAGTTTAAATTTTATGATTTTCCTTAGCATTTGTTTCTGTTCATTTATTAACTTTAAAATTTTCAAAGAATTCTTTAAAAATAAGTTGGTACTAAGAATTACAGATTTTAGGATATATTTATAAGTAAAATAACCACTAACGATATTTGCAAAACATAGTGGATTTATTTTCCGAGTAATGAGCAGGAGGGTACTGTTTGCCAAGCTTTTCTGCTGTACTGTTTCCACATCAAGCTTTTTTAATTTAATTTTCTAAGATGGTTGTTTCTGAGTTGACTCGTACATGTTCGTTTTATTTCAGACACAGTATTTCCAGAAGCATTCAGAGGGATGCCCACGTTTTTTAAATTGTTTCCTGATTGTGGCCAAAAGGTGATTCAGTAGAATGTTGGGCTCTTGTCCAGAGAGAGCCTGAAACCAAAACCAGACAGACAAAAACAGATGGGTTATCAATGGAGTCAGAGTCCTCTGTGAAAAAGGGACTGGAGGCGAGACCTCAGTGCTTTGCTCCTGTTCCCGGGGACCTAACTGCAGTGGGGGCCCAGGGCGTGGGCTCTGAGGGTACCCGCTCCCGGGGCCTGTCCTGTCTGTCCAGCCCTAGGATCACCCTGAATTCTCCTCTACCCTCACCGACCTACTTCTATTTAAATAATCTGTCAGTAGCAAGTTCTGGACATTTGTTATCTTCTGTATAGAATAGATCTTTTATTTATCTTGAACTTCTTGGACCCTTGTTTTGGGGGTTTTGTTTTAAATCCTAGACTTTGATGAGCAAATCTCATTAAATCACCCATAGGACTTCAGAGGCCTTGCCCACAATGCCTCTATTGAGAAGAATATAAACATCTGAATGATAACAATTAGTCACATGTAGAAGCCACACCCTCCGTCTCCTCCTGGGTGGTGTCCCCCGTGTGTGCCGTCTGGCGCTGAGCGCCTCCAGACTGTATTTTCACAAGGATAGTATGGGCACTGCACCGAAAAAGAAGCTTCTGGTCTCAACGTTTGGGAAATGCTTCGTGTCACGTTAAATTAGCTTATCGCATGATTTCCTGGGCTCCGGCAGGCGAATGTGCGCCGAAAGTGGCCAGGACAGGCGGGGCGGAGCAGGGCTCGGACTGTGGCGGCTCGTGGGACTGGCGAACCCAGAAAACCCCGAGTTAGAGTTTGGTGCGGCAGGGAGGTGGGGGGGAGTGGGAGGGGGTCAAATGCAGGTTCTTACTTTTTAGCATTCCAAGTCCTCCATCAGCTGTGCCTCTTTCTAACCGTTCAGTAGCATCCGTCGTTCCCCGCAACCGTCTCTTCCCTTCGCCCGAGTCACTGCCTGTTCTGCCCTCTCCTGCGCATGCGCCACCCCAAGGCGCCGAGCCCACCCTTCCTCTTGGGGGTTACAAACCCGGCTTTTCAAGGCGCAGTTTCGAACAGTGGCCCACCCGCCCGGGGATCCTGGGCAGCTGCCGGGTTTGAGGCTCGGCCCTCCCCCAGCACCCCGGACCCACGGCCACGTGCAGAGACGGTGAGTCAGAGCACGAGAGGTGACAAACCTGAGCGCAGGCACCGTATCTGTTAAAATAATTTATCCAGAACAAGCACTGGATAAGGTTCTCTTTTCTTCACATTTTATAAGTCAGAATTTGCAAAAATTAATGCTTTAAGGTAACGATGTGATTTCTAGCAGGAACGCTTGTCTAGTTCATGAACTTGGGGTCCTCTGAAGTCAGGGTGCAGAACGCTCACCTTTTTTAACCTCACAGTCACTTACCTTCCTCGTAATTCCTCTTGGGTTAAAAACATTGGTATCGGGATCTGCAAAACAATATTTGGAAACCATTCACCATGAGATCTATCGTTTTCTACTTCGTGCTTGGTTTATTCAAAACACCCCAACTAATGCGTCACCAAATCACGTCTCGTTTCTGGGCTTCCTTTGTGCACTGCAGTGGTGTTTGCCTGGAGGCAGGTAAGTGGCGCCCTTGTCCTTACCTACAGAGCCCACAAAGGGCACTGCGTTTTCCTTGGCAACTTATCAGCTCAGTGGTTTATCAAAAATATTATAATAAATTGAACTCTGTTCAACAGTGTCTATTAAAAGCCTCCATGGTTTTTTCCAGAATGTCCCGGGCATTTGCATCAGTGCCTAGAGAAGTACAGTCACAGGGAAAATACAGGCAGACCTTGTTTAATTGGGCTTTACTGCACTTGCCAGACCTTGCATTTTTCACAAATTGAAGGTCGTGGCCACCCTGCGTTGAGCAAGTCGAGTGATTGGCATTATTTTCCCAGCAGCACTTGCTCACTTCATGTTTCTGTTTCACATTTCGGTCATTGTCCTAATATGCCAGTTTTTCATTATTGTTACATCGCTCCTGGTGACCCATGGTCAGCAAGCTCTGATGTCGTCATTGTAATTGCGTGGGAAGGCGACGGACCTGCCCACATAAGATGGCGACTTAAATGGTGTCTGTGTTCTGACCACTCCACCGGCCCAGCCCTTGCTATTCTCCCTTGTCTTGGATCTCCTTATTCCCTGAGACACGACAATATTGAAATTAGGCCAATTAATAACTCTATCGCGGCCTCTAAGTATTCAGCTGAAAGGAAGATTCATGAGTCTCCTATTTTGAACCAAAAGCTAGAAATGATGAAGCTTAGTGAGGCAGGCATGTTGAAAGCTGAGGCAGGCCAAAAGCTAGGCCTCTTGCACCAAAGTTAAGTAAGTTGTGAATGCAAAGGGAAAGTTCTTGAAGGAACTTAAACGTGATACTCCAGTAAACATATGAATGGTAAGAAATCAAAACAGCTTTACTGCTGATGTGGAGCGTTTTAGTAGTCTGGATAGAAGACCACAGCATTGTCTTAAGCCGTAGCCTGATCCAGAGCCAGCCCCTGACTCTCTTCAGTTCTGAGAAGGCTTCAGAGGTGCGGGAGCTGCCGAAGAAAAGCCCGCGGCTGGCTGAGGTTGGTTCTTGAGGTCTAAGGAGAGAGGCCTTCTCCATGACATCAAAGTGCGAGGTGAAGCAGCAGCAGGCCACCCAGAATTCTAGAAGATGATTCGTGAGGGTGGCTACACTAAACAACAGGGTTTCGATGCAGAAGAAACAGCCTTACATTGGAAGAAGATGCCATCTAAGCTTTCATAGCCAGAGAGGAAAAGTCAATACCTGACTTCAGAGGACAGGCTGACTCACTTGTTAGGGGCTGACGAACTGGTACCTTGAGATTCAAGCCAGTGCTCGTTTACCGTCGTTTACGGGCCCTTCAGGATTTTGTTCAGTCAGCTCTGCCTGTGCTCTGTGAACAGACAACAAAGCCTGGACGGCAGCATATCTGTTTACAACACGGTTTACAGACCTGTCTAAGCCCACTCGTGAGGCTTACTGCTCAGAAAAAGATACCTTTCAGAGAATGACTGCTCACTGACAGTGGTCACCCGAGAGCTCTGATGGAGACGGACAGTGAGATTCAGGTCTTTTTCACGACTGCTCACCCGACATCCATTCTGCAGCCCATGGATCAATGGCATTTCGACTTCCAGGTCTCGTTATTTGAGAAGGGCGTTTTGCAAGGCTATAGCTGCCATAGAATCTGGGCAGTCAGTTGAAAACCTTCTGGAAAGGATTCCTCATTCTAGATGCCATTAAGAACATTTGTGTTTCATGGAAAGAGGTCAGAAGAATATCAGCGTGAACAGGAGTTTGCAGGAAGTTGGTTCCAACCCTCACGGGTGACTTGGAGGGGTCCAAGACTTCGTGGAGGAAGTAACTGCAGATACGGTGGAAGTAGCAGGAGAACCAGAATTCGAACTGGAGTTGGAAAATACGACTGCATTGCTGTAATCTTATGTGAACTTGCATGGATAAAAATTGTTTCTTATGGATGAGCAAAGAAAGTGGTTTCTTGAGATGGACTTGATTCTTGGTGCAGATGGTGTGACGATGTTTGAAACGACAACAGAGGATTTAGAAAATGACAAGCTTCGTTGATAAAGCAGGGTTTGAGAGGACTGGCTCCAATTTTCAGAGACGCTCTGCTGTGGATAAAATGTTACCAAACAGTATCACGTGCTACAGAGAAATTTTTCGTGACAGGGAGAGTCACCTGATGCAGCAAATTTCATCGTCTTTTTTTTAAAGGAAACCGCCACAGCCACCTCAGCCTCCAGCAGCCACCGCCCTACCCTGGTCAGTCAGCAGCCACCAAGGCCAGACTCTCCACCAGCAAAAAAGTTTGACTTGCTGAAGGCTCATATGGTGGTTGGCACTTTTAGTTAAGATAGACATTGTTTTCTTCAGACATAATGCTATTGTACATTTACTAGAACACAGTATTGTATAAACATAACTTTTATATGCACTGGGAAACCAAAAAAAACTTCACTGCATGACTTGCTCTATTGAGATGTTTGCTTTATTGCAGCCGCCTGGACCTGAACCCGCAGCACCTCAGAGGTTTGCCTGGCCTAAAAACTGACACTTCGTCCATTACTTCGTGTGTGGCTGGGCTGCACATTTTACTTGCATTTTCTCATTGACTCTTCACCATAACCCTATGAGGTAGGTATTTTTATCTTTCCTGTTTACCGCTTAAGAAACTGAGATACAGAAAGTTGAAGTAGTTTAAGATTTTAGCCCATGGGAAATCAACATGTAAAGCTGCACTCAGTAGAAGCTGGCATAATACCCTCCTTCCCCTCAAAACAAAAGTCCAAACAAGAAAAGAACACCCTGAGACGCCGCGTACAGCAGAGTGCTCGCAAGCAGCGGCTGAGAAGGAAACAAAGGTTGCAGGGGAGGCCTTCTGCCAGGAGGGGAGAGTGTCGGGCAATTAACTTATGTAATGTAGCTCAAATGCATGTCCCAAATAGGGCCGCCCCTCACTGAGGGATGAGAATAGAGAGCAAATCCGGGAGCCGTAAAATCAGACACCCACGCCCACCAGAGTCCTCTTACCTGCTTTCCTGAGGCTGCCTCCTGTCCCCACGTCTGACACTCCCGGTAGCCCGAGCAGAAGGGACACTCTGTCCCCCTCGTCCAGAGCCGGTCCTGCACCCCCAGAAGGCTCTGCGCAGGGGGGAGATGGGCATTAGTAATGCAGATCATTTTTCAGTTAGTTCCTCCTGTTCCCTGTGGTCTTTTTGGGGGGAGGGGGGTGCGGGGGAGCAGGGGTACCAGGGACAAGGAGAGAATCCTGGAAAAACTTCAAGTGCTCAGTAGGTGATTTGTCATTAGTTGTACTTTGCAGAGGAAAGGACAGCGGATCTAGAGGAAGGGACCTAACTCTGACCCTGCCTCCTGTGTGACCTGCTAACCCGCTGCTGACCCGCTGCCTGATTCAGAGGGTCGAGCTGAGCCACGGGATCAGTTTAAAACATCTCCACTTTTAAAAAGTGACTTTTCCCAAGTCCATTCATCTGCTGTTGCCTCTTGCTTTTGGAGACTTGGGTGGCAAAATAGGACAGGAAAGGAAAGCACTGGTTTCCCTTTTTTTTTAAGATTTTCTTTATTTTTTGAGGTGGGGGACAGAGAGAGAGGGACACATGAATGAGTGGTTGCCAGTCGCACACCCCCTACTGGGATCCCAGCCCGCAACCCAGGCAGGTGCCCTGAGTGGGAATTGAACCCGCGGCCCTTTGGTTCGCAGGCCGGCACTCAATCCAGGGAGCCACACCAGCCAGGGCAGGACTGGTTCTCTAAAAGACGAGATCGTGTTCTTCCTATTAAGCCAGTAAGATGGCATGGCCTCTCTCTGGCTTTCATCACTTAGGTGCAGTTGTTATTAGACAAGTCAGCTTTAAAATACCTTTTGAAAAACTTGATAGTAACATTTCCAATGTGAAATTCAGTCAACACGAGGCATGTGAGATGTACAGTACGTAAGGTGCGTGTGGAAGATGCAGGTAAGGTACTGGGAACGTGCACGTATGGTGCACGGGAAGCGCGTGTGAGGGTGGAGACTTGGCCCAGGTGGCTCCTGCGGCCAGTGCCACTGTGTCGAGCCTGGAGGCTCCAGGACTGTCACAGCGCCGGCGAGCTTCCAGCCCGCAGGCCCTAAGCTCCAGCCTTGGCCGGGGGACCGTGCACAAACCGCTGTGAAGGCGTCCAGGCACAGACACAGCACCCCTGCAGGCTATGAATGGAAACCTGTGAAACCTGGCCACTTACAACTGTTTCTGTCATGAAGGATCATTGATGGAGAAACAAATAAATAAAAAAATTCAGGCCAAAAGTCTAAGAGGCCACCTGTTGAGAATTTGAGTGAGATACTACATCTTTTATCTATTATTTTTTATTTTTTTAAATAACAATTTCATCTAAGTTTTTTAAAATCATAATAATGACATGCACATTTTTGAAGATGACAGTAATATCTGAACATTTACTCCTGATTTTATCTTGTGTTTTCCACGGGTCTTTTCAAATAAGAGAGGGCCGGTCAAGTTCATGCTTGTCTGGCCAGTAGGGTGATCGCGAGTCTGAGCCGGGGGGACCTGGGAGTTGACTGACAAGTGGCCGAGAGGGCTGCCAGTGGTCAGAACGCTGCTCGGCAGGGAGGCTAGAGACTAGGAATTACAAAATCAATGGCTTACAAGAGCTTTTTTCCCCCTTTATTTAAAGAAAAATGTCTAAAAGTACCCAAAGTTAAAGACAAGATAAAATCCAGTTAAAATGCTTATGGAAACGAACACCTAAGCATCAATCAACTTTTTCATTCCTTCACCTAAATTAAGAGGTAATAGCAAAATATGTATATGTTTGATCATTCTTTGAAAATTCAACTTAGAATTGAGCTGGACGCAACATATATCAAAAGGAAAAACTCAGTGAACTTGGAAGCATGGGGTGTCCTGGCTCCAGCTGGTCCCTTTGTAAATTTTTGATACTTGTTTTTGTTCCATATAACACAAGTCAGATGATTACTTTTTAACTTAAAATAATAGAGGATGAAATTAAACTATTTTAAACCTACAATTGGAAAGGCCAAATTCTACATTCAGGCAGTTCATTTAAAAGAATGCTTTTAACTTAGTACAGTTTTTAAAATCGAAAAACTGACCAAAACCAAAGTTTGAATCATGGAAGTGCCATGAAATGAGCAATTCTACACCCGTCTACTCTTACTTCCATGTCTCCATTGTTGGACTCGAAATGGGCTCTAAGGGTCCTCGCGGCTGGGACTACTGACTTAGCAAGACTCCACCTAAGCAAGAATGCCCATCCTTCTCTCTGACATGGCATTTAAGACCCCGGCTTGAAGGCTCTTTCACGACTAAGAGAAGGGAAGAAAGTTGATCTTACCCGAGAACAGCAGGGGCTCTTCCCTGGAGCCGGGGACGGGGAGAGAGAAGAGAGCGTTCAAGCATCCCATGAAAAGCAAACAGCAGGAGGCCAGCTTGTACATGACTGACAGCCGACAGAGTCTTCCTTCTTGGCTTCTGTTGTCCAGAACTTCCAATTTGCTCCTCTCAGTCTGTGATCTGCGACTATATATATTGTCCTATGACCTCATACCATCCCCTCCCAAAAAAAGTCACATCGATTTATTGGCTGCAGAGGCCAAAAGGCAATCACTTTGCACTGATGTAATTTTTCAAGGTAACAACTCATAACACTAAATTCACTGTCCTGTTGCCTAGTGTACAAAGTAGATATTATATAAAGAAAGAACAGTTGAGTTTACAAATCTGGCAAGAAGAGGGACCTAGAGCGATGAATCACGAGTTAAAAAAAAAAAAAAGGGTCAGACATAACTGAAGTGGCCAAGACAGAGACATGGACTTACTGGTCCCAGCCCCAGTGACACACATTGTGTCCAAAACGTGCGGGGTTTCCTTTTTGCAATCTTTCCTGAGTGCACAGTTAACAGTCCTGTTGCGCGTGGGGCTGCCTTGCCTGAAGAGTGACAGTGTGCGGGGTAAAACCTAAAACCAGGTACTGAAAATAGGGAAGCTACGGTGAGACGCACGGCAGACACCCAGGCCAAAGGCGAGTTCCGTTCGTGCACGTGGCCCCAGGTGAAACCACAAGCACATGGGTCTCGGAGCAGGGCAGCGCCTTCCCTCAGAGCTGGAGAGTATTCATCCACAAGGAATGAAGAACAAGCCTGAGCACCTTGCTGTGAGTTTTTCTAGAATTTCTCTGCTCTGAGCTAGTGCCCAGCCCATGGCCAGCCCAGATCGGGGTGGCAGCCTCCTCCTGAAAGTCCCCCAGGCTGCCTCCTCCCCCTCCAGCCTCTGTGAGCGCTGCACACAGGCTCTCCTAGCACAGAAGTCAGATCGTATCAGTTCTCTTCTCAAAACTTCTATTGACCTGAACATAGAAGTTAAAACTATAGAATTACTAGGGGGAGAAATAAAAAACATGAACACATTCACAACCTTTGGGTTGGCAAATATTTCTTAGGAGACCAACGATGTTAGGAAAAAAACAGACACATTGGACTTTATCAAAATGAAAAACATCTGCTCTTTGAAAGCTACTGTTAAGAAAATGAAAAGACCAGCCACTACTGTGAGAACTTTTCATAAAACACATGCCTGACAAAAAGACCTCTCCAAGATATTTAAAAAAAAAAAAAAAAAAAAACAGACTCAATAAACCAACGACCCAATTAAGAGAATGAGCAAAAGGTTTCAACAGATGCTTCGCAAGAGAAGATATACAAGTAGTTAATGAGGATGTTAAAAAAAAAATACTCCACAGCATTTCATCAGGGCAATGCAAACTGAGAACACAGTGAGATGCCGCCGCACACGCAGCACGTGGCTGCAGCCGCAAACCTGACAGCCAGCGTTGGCGGAGGTGCAGCGCACGGGCCTCTCATACGGAGGGTGGGCCTTACACGGCACACCCGCTCTGGAAGAGCTGGACACTTTCTTAATAATCACACACTAGCCTGTGGAGCTCAGAAATCCCTCTCAAGTGGACACCAAGTGAAATGCGAACATACGCCCAACACACACTTGTACACCAATGTTTGTAACAGCTTTACTCATAATAGTGTAACACTGGGAGCAACCCCAGCGTCCAGCAGCAGGTGAACAGCCGAGCCGTGCGCCGAATCATTCCGTGGGGTTCTGCCTGGCCATGCAGAGGAACTGCTGGTAAACACACAACTATCTGCCAGGCAAACTAAGCCAGACCCAGAAGAGGATGCAGGGCCTGATTCTGTTTCAGTGGAATTCTAGGATAGGTCAGGTAAATGCACAGTGTCAGAAAACGGGTCAGTGGGAGGTGGAGGGTTGACCAAAGGGAGACAAGGACATTTTCTGGGATAAGGACACTATCCTCTATCTTGACGAAAACCCACCGCTGCATGCTGACCATGAGCGTTTTACTATATGTACATGATACCTGGATAAAGTTCACCATTTTTAAACCTCCTCAACTCCTGGTTTCAGCCTTTACTTCTTCCAACACTGCTCGCCCCTTACAGCCCCCCACCCCCAACTAGTCTGAACGACTTCCTGGAGACCGTGCCGCGGGGCAGCTGACCAGGGAAGCTGTTGCTTCAGACGCGGTGGGTGGACGGCCTCTGGGAAGGGAACCTTCGAGCAGAGACCCAAATGAGGTGGGGAACGCATGTTCTAAGGATCCCGCAGAGAAAATCGAAGTGGAGTGGCCAGGGAAGCTGGAGAAGCGTGAATAGAGGCGTCCCAGCCGCCTGGCCGGGGCCACCGCCCACCCCCACCCTGTGGCTGGCCGTCTGGGAACCGCCCAGCAGGGACGCTAGGGTAGCAGCCTGGAGCGGTGGCCTCGGCAGGGCCACGAGCAGTTTCACACATGCACACGTCTGCTGAGACGGCGGGGGCTACCGTCAGACCGCTCCACTCTCAGAAGCAGACATCTCGGCACCTAGAGTGCCAGCAGCCCGGGGGTGGGGGCGAGCTGCGAACCAAGAGGACAGGAAGTGGCCCTCCAGGACCGCAGGGCGGCTGGGGGCCAACGCAAGCCAGCTCAAGAAGATAGAGTGCATTGGAAAGACGGGCAGCTTCTCGGATCCGGGGAGCGGAGCTGCTCCGGCTTGACGTGACTTGGCTCCCCACTTAGTCTCTCTCTCCTACCCTCACTTCTTTGTCTCTCTGTCTATCTCCTGCTGTCCTCCCTCTCTCCCCCCCCCACCTTCTTTCTCTCTTCCCCCCCCCCACCTTCTTTCTCTCTCCATGGTTTCTTGCCCTACAACCTCTCTGTCCTCTTATATATCTCTTTCTTTCTCTCTCTGCAAGACCTGTTTTTCTTTCTTTTCCCCCACATCTACTTGGCCCAAACATGCCCGACTGCCAAAATTTACCTCCAGTTTAAGCCATTGGCTCAGACACATCACTTCCGCTTTCAATCCAATTTGCAAACTCCTAGGAGAGAGGGTCTGGGGCCCAGCTCAGCCGCCCTGCGGAAGGGCAGCTGTCCACAAAAGAGAGGGCTGTGGCCCCAGCAGACATGCCAAACGGAGTACAACACAGCCAGAGTCAAAATGTGCCCGGTCAGCCCGCCTTCAGAAATACCCCCTAACGAAATGACACCGCAGAAACAAAGAATGACCTGAGGGCATCGGCCGCGGCCTCACCTGTAGCGTCAGGACAGGTTGCAAACTCCAGCGCAGCGGGAATCAGGAGGCGAGGGTGTAAATGAGGAAGGCAGGCGTGGTGAGTGACAATGGGGGCTGGTGGGAACTGTAGCGAAGCGGGGATCATATGCTGACTCTCGAGATGGGCCGCCGTGACTCCGACTCGTTGCCCAGCCGGCACATGGGAAATCTGAGTTTTAAGGGTCATGCGTGAATTCTCCTGACACGTCATTCAAAGGGAAAAAACAACAGCTGCAGCAAAGCATTGTGGGTCTCACACAGGACCCGTCCACGAGCCGCGATCCACCTGCAAGCACCGCCTCTGGCCGTAGCGCCTCAAGTCGGCGCACAAATTAGTAAATTGTGGAGCTTATGTCTTTTGGTAATCATGAAAGTGGTAACTAACTAACTCTGAAGGTAATTGATACTATGTATAAAAATAGGTGACCATTTGGACAAGAACTGGCATGTAATATTAGAAATTCAAAATAATTATATTAAGGTAGGGGAATTTTTCTTAAAATTCTATTTATACATATATATTACATGTGTGTCTCCCTCTGTGACTGTTCATGCCTCTGTGTGTGTGTCTGTGTGTATGTGTGTGTGCATCTGCGTGTCTGAGTGTGAAGCCCCCGTGAAGGAAAGTCGCCTCAGGAGGCGCCGGGCAGCGGAGGGGCTGGGGCGGTGGGCGCCCCGCGGATGGGCCGGAGAGGCGGCTGGACATCAGACTCTTGTCCGCGCGCCAGGCTGGCTGCCAGGCTTTGTCATCTCCTGGTGACTCAAGGGTGCTTCTGACAGTTGTTAGTGATGATTTTACAGCATGGCCTAATTAAATTACTACTAAAGGCTGAAGCTTCTAAGAAAATTAGCTTCTTCACTCCACCAGCCCATCAATGACAGTGTCACCTTGTCCCAGAAATGCCCTGAGGGCATCATTCCACCCCACCCGCCCCTGTGGGAGGTAACACGGCTTCATGTTGATGTCCGAGCACGTTGGACCGAAGACTACCTTGTGTCAAGGTAGGATCCCTTTACTCAGTTGCAAATTACCTTTTTAAGCAAGAGAGGTGTCTTTTGTGTCATGAAGAAGTGAAGAGCTAATAGGGCATATTTGGGCGCCACGTGCCCACAGAGCACCAGTGTCCACTGGGTAAGTGTAAAAGCTACAAACTCTTTTTAGTCTTGCTTTGAAATTAACCTACGTTCACCCTCTCTACTGCCATCATTTTTTAAAATTCTCACCCGAAGATATGTTTATTGATTTGAAAGAGAGAGAGGAAGGGGGAGAGAGAGAGGAACACCAATCCGGTGCCTCCCATACACGCCCCGACTGGGGATCAAACCTGCAACCTTTTGGTGCACAGGACAATGCTCCAACCAACCGAGCCACCAGCCAGGGCTCTGCTACCATCTTTACCCTCTTATTGCCTGGGCATAACTTTATATGAATATATTATTTCTATTGACTGTCCTCAGGCGTGAGGCTGCCTGAGGAGGAATTGATAGGCCAGGACCTTGTCAAGTGCTTGACGCCTGTCCAGGACTTTCTTAGTGACGAACAGCCTCCCCATTTGGGACGATCCGTTGGGGGCGTGTTTGTGCCCTTCGTTGCTGCTGTGCTGGTGCCACCACTGAGGCAGACCTGGATCTGAGATCAGAATTTCTGAAACCAACCGCATTCACATTCGGCTGACAGTGTGGAGGAGAGGAAATCCAAGAAAGAGGGCAGATGAAGACAGTGTTTCTAGAAGGAGGACTCTATCGTGGCCAAGGCCGCAGATGAGGAATGACCAGCGGGTTCCCGTTGGCAAAGCGGGGTCCTAGCAACCTCAACA